GTACGGATGGACAGCTTGAAGCTCTTACTCGAGGGGGGAGGGGCATGACCAATATACGTAACTTTAACACTTATACCCATAATATGCTAAAATAAAAAAAAAATGAAGGTTTAGCTGGGTGTGGTGGCTCAAGCCTGTAATTCTAGCACTTTGGGAGGTCAAGGTAGGAGGATTGTTTGAGGCAGAGTTTGAGACTGGGCTGAACAAGAGCAAGACTCTCTCTCTATAAAAAACAGAAAAAAATTAGCTGGATGTGGTGGTACGAGCTTGTAGTCCCAGTTACTTGGGACGCTAAGGCAGGAGGCTCACTCAAGGCCAGGAGTGTGAGCTGAATGACACCACTGCACTCTCACCCAGGAAATAAAGCAACACCCTGTCTCAAAATAAGAAAAAAAAAAAAAAAAAAAAGGAAAAAGAAATGAGTTCAGCAACAGCCTCAGAGTTTTCATGTGGACTTTTACAATATTAAAAACTTAGGGGTTTTGTATGTCTAACATCCTAAGAAAGTCCCTGGAATAAAACAAGCCCTTGTTGGTGATAAGGAGTAAGCAAGGACCATGGTGAGTAGGGAGCTTTCAACCCTTGAGAGCTTTTTAAGTTAACATGATCAGTCTCAACAGAGGGGACTAAACCACATGATACTACAAAGAGTCAGAAGTTCTGAATGTGAGTTACTATATCAGAATGTACAATGATAAGAGCTGTACTATTACCTGTTCTATTATCATTTTATGAAAAAATGGACTTACCATGAAGTCTTTCATCGTTCTTAGAGAAAAGAAAAAAATCTAGTGGTCTCTTTCTCAGGTACTGATACTTCTCTAAAACAAGAGGTAAAAGGGGTAGAAGGGAGAGAGAAATAGACAGATATTGGGTAGTTTAATTTCAATATTTAAGAAGAAATATTTACATTAAAAATAAACTATTCTTGAAATATATTGCTTATGTTTTTGCTTATCTTGCCCTGAGTTAAAAATGACCCTATCTTCTCTCCATTCAACCATTTTTCTATCTGAAGCTTTGACAGTGAAGACTTGTTTAAGTAACAAACTATCTTCCCTACACTGCGTTGTTAATACTCTCCCACAACTGCTACCCCATTTGCCACTGTTCCCCATGGGAAGGCACCCCACCATCTGCAGCATCCGGTTTCCAGTCTACGACTTCACTGTCAAGCTTCCTTCCTATGCACATCCTATCTTCCACCCAGTCTACCCAAATCTCAAGGAAAGGAAACAAGCTCCCTATGATAAAAAGGCTAGAAGAATTTTCTAAAAGCTAAGAAAATTGTTATGTGAAGTGAAGCTTAGACACTTACTAAAATACTTCTAAAGCATGTCTAACTCAGATTTTACAAATATGAACCTGCAAAGAAACAAATTGCTTACTCCGGCATAGGCTTTCTGTGATCTGTTTCTTCGTAATGTCTTCCTCTTCTGAACTGCTATCTTGGAAACGAGTTTCTTGCCAGGTAATCTTCCCAGGTTTCACTGTCTCAACTCTATAGATCTCTATATCATTATAATGACACAAGATGATGGGATTATAATTGAACAATAAATATTTCTGAACATACTCATTTGATTACCATGCATACATATTTCTAAATTTCTAATATAATTAACCATTAGTTTAAAATAGGTAGTATCTATTTTGAAATAATTGAGAGAAGCTACTACCGTAATTTTGGCATTGCTACAATGATCTGATAAGGGCTATAGTAATATAAAAGGTATAGGCTGGGCGCGGTGGCTCATGCTATAATCCTAGCACTCTGGGAGGCCGAGGCGGCCGGATTGCTCAAGGTCAGGAGTTCGAAACCAGTCTGAGCAAGAACGAGACCCCGTCTCTACTAAAAATGGAAAGAAATTAGCTGGACAACTAAAAATTGAAAACATTAGCTGGGCATAGTGCACATGCTTGTAGTCCCAGCTACCCAGGAGGCTGAGGGGGAGGATCACTTGAGCCAGAGTTTGAGGTTGCTGGTGAGCTAGGCTGACACCATGGCACTCTAGCCCGGGCAACAGAGTGAAACTCTGTCCAAAAAAAAAAGTTCAAGGCTGCAGTGAACCATGATGATGCCACTGCAGTCCAGCCTGAGCAACAAAGCAAGACCATGTCTCTAAAGGATACCAAAAAAAAAAAAAGGAAGAAAGAAACTGAACAAAGTGGCAACTTGAGAAATAGTAAAGTTATAGAAGCATTAAGAGTTACCACTTTGATGGAGGACATTTAGGGCCTAGACCATAAATAATGTTGAATACATGCTAAACAGACTATCAACACATTCTTTTTTTTTTCTTTTTGCGACAGAGTCTCACTCTGCTGCCCAGGCTAGAGTGCCATGGTGTCAGCCTAGCTCACAGCAACCTCAAACTCCTGGGCTCAAGGGATCCTCTTGCCTCAGCCTCCCCCCAAGTAGCTGGGACTATAGACACTGTGCCCAGCTGATTTTTTCTCTTTTTAGTTTTTTGGCTAATTTCTTTCTATTTATAGTAGAGACGGGTCTTGCTCTTATCCAGGCTGGTCTCCAACTGCTGAGCTCAAATGATCCTGGCCCGCCTTGGCCTCCCAGAGTGCTAGGATTACAGGTGCGAGTCACCACACCCGGCCTATAAACACATTCTTAAACTTAGGAAATGCTTTCTATCTGTTCTAGGCCAGATCAATTGTTTTCTGTCCTTCTAAAGGATAAAATAGGCAGTTACAGAACTATTCTCAATTTGTCAAGGCCTAAAATTTCCTTCAGAGGCTCTGGTGCCAACGCCTGAGGTCTACTGCCCTTTGCATGGCTCCAGACTTCCTTTTTATTATTCACCAGATCTGGAAAGTACCAGGCAGACATATAGCAATGATAGTAAGTAAATACGCAGGCTGGGTGCTATGGCTTACACCTGTAATCCCACCACTGTGAGAGGCCAAGGCAGGAAGATCACTTGAGGCCAAGAGTTCCATACCAGCCTGCGCAACATAGCCAAGACCCCATCTCTAAAATAAATTATTTAAAAATTAACTGGGTGTGTTGGCCTGTGCCTATAGTCCTAGCCACTTGGGAGGCTGAGTAAAGAGGATTGCATGAGCCCAGGAGTTCAAGGTTAAGGTGGAGCCATGATTGCATCACTGCATTCCATCCTGGGCAACAGAGTGAGACCTTGTCTCTAAAAAAATAAAATAAAATTTTAAAAATTTTGTTTTTCATTACAGGAAACAAAATACAATAAAAAATTTAAAACTTGGTTGACAGGTCTACCCTTCCCTTTTGTTGTATCACTCCATATGGCCATTTACTACAGGAGCAGCCTTGGGATTAGCTGCCCACGGCCCCACAGTATAATTCAGTAAGCTGCTGCTCAGAAAGTTTCTGTTTGGTGATACCAATTTTAGGTATCATTGACACGTGGTGAAATGAACAGATCCTAAGTGTCCAGTTAGATAAACACTGACAAACATAAGATGAAGAATGTAGGCTGCGCCGCTCCCCAGGCCCCCAGGGCGCCGCTTTCCAGTCCGCCCCCACCCACCCAGACGTCCCCCATGGCGATTTAAGATCTCAGTCTGCCAGAGGGTATCAGATCCCAGCAGCAGAGAAACCCAGCCCCACCTCCTGGTCCGTGCTGTGGGTTATTGGTTTCCAGCACGCATGCGGCTCACCCTCGGGGCTGGTGGGCGTGGCCGGGAACCCGTGAAGCCAATCAGCGCTCGGCTTGTTTGCGTGTGTTAGGTGGCGCTCTCTGATTGGTTGGTGCAGAGCGGGTGCTTCCCTTTTGCCCCGCACTGTCAGGTGGTTGCATCACCTTGGCACGCCGGCCTGCAGCTTACACGCCGGTTTTCCCCGATGCTTGCAGATTCGCGGGACTTCCCAGGTACTTCGGGCCTCTTAGGTACGCCTTTCCTACCTCTGGGTTCTGCCCGCGGGGTCCTTGAGGTGCGCCGCATCCTGCCTGCAGAGGCGAGAGTTGGCGCACGCGTTACAACCCTGAGACAGTAGCGCACGATTTAAAATATTGAAAAAAATTTTTAAACATGTTTCTTCAGGGCTTGCCATGCATTAGTTGCGTGTATATTTCCAAGGAGGACGATTGGGAGGCGGTCTAAGGTGGCTCTACAGAACTCAGAACTGGGTATGAATTTTGGCCAGACTCCTGGGGCCGATGACTACAGTCCTCGGAAGTTCTTCTGGCACACACTGGGAACAGGGTAGTTCTTGAACCATTGTATGGTTATGAGAATTCAGGGTGATAGAGCACACTGGAGAAGTTCAGAAGGTGGGCGAGATTACTGCGAAGCCTAGGTATTCATAAGAACAAATCAAGGCATGGTTCCCAGTGTCTATGCCCGGTTCTCCTGAACTGGCATTAATTGCTGGGGACGTCGGGTCAGAAGGGTGTAAGCGCGGCGTTCCGGTCCTGAGCTCACTTGGAAACTGATAATGCAGGAACCAAGCGCAGGGCTTGCTAGCAGCACAGGAGGGAGACAGCTTTTCGTGGGATTTGGAGGTGAGACATGGAGGCGGCTTGTCAGGAGCTGCCATTGGGTTTTGGGCCTTGAAGATGAGTAGGAATTGGGGGTAAGAGGAAGAGAGGCCAGGGGACTATACGTACAGTACTACAGGATTTGAAAGTACTATTGGTTCAGGAGATGAGAAGTCGCTGTCACTGCAGCTTAGGATATATGTGAAGAATAAATGCGAGATGGCTGTTAGTTTCCAGCCTTATGAGTTTATGGTTGCCTTTTTGAATGAGGTTGTGTTTGAAATGAATAAAAACCTTTTGAAAATGATATATTGCACATAATATGAATCAGTATAACTGACTTTTTTCTTTTTCAGTAGATACAGGTAATTTTTTGGTTATTTGCCTGTAGAAACAATGCTTCAGTGAATATCTTAGTACACATATTTTGCACATTTGCATGAGTATGTCTGTGGAGTATATGTTAATAGGATGTAACTAAATTGAGGAAAGGCTTGAGATGGACCCACCCTGAGGTTAAATTTGATTTCATATAACAGTCTATGAAGACCTGGGAATGAAAAGGGGAGAACAGAGAAATAGACTTAGAGGTAGGATCCACGTGTCTTGATGGTTAATTGGATATATATATATTATCTGGGTAATATCAAGGATGACTCAGAAACATCATGCTTAGGTAATAGGAAGAATATTGGAACCACTAATACATTAGAGTTAAAAGGGGAAGCAGGCCGGATGTGGTGGCTCACGCCTGTAATCCTAGCACTCTGGGAGGCCAAGGTGGGAGGATCGCTGAAGATCAGGAGTCTAAGACCAGCCTGAGCAAGAGTGAGACCCCGTCTCTACTAAAAATAGAAAGAAATTAGCTGCACAAGTAAACATACATAGAAAAAATTAGCCGGGCATGGTGGCGCATGCCTGTAGTCCCAGCTACTCAGGAGGCTGAGGCAGTAGGATCTCTTGAGCTCAGGAGATTGAGGTTTCTGAGGTTTCAGCTAGCCTGATGCAAGGACACTCTAGCCCAGGCAACAGAGCAAGACTCTGTCTCAAAAGGAGGGGGGGACAATTATGGTCAGAATTATAATGAAATTTTAAACAAGATGTGGTTTCAGTGTGCTTTTCTAAAATATATTGCGAGAAACACAAGTGAAGGTTAAGGAAAGTCATCTGGAAATTGCTAAACGGGAAGTTGAGCGTAAGGGAGACTGAAGGAGTTGTGGAATAGGGAAGAGTGGAGGGCCTGGAAGAGGGAAGCAGAAGAGGTAACATCTCTGTGCACAGCCTGGCACACTCCCTGCCCTGTGGTTGCTGGATGCTGTTGTGCAGGTACAGCTATCCAGTGGATACAATGGGCTATAGTATTCCTGTGATTTATGCATGGGGCTGTTTATTCTCAGCAGCTGCCATAGCCCGGTCACTGGTACATAGTTCTTCCTGAAGTAGTCAATGCGGTTGTACTGGGTTTTTGTGCTTGGCATAATACTTAAGTGATTCTTAATCTGTAGTGGAGTAGATACTTCCCTAGAAAATTCAGTAAATGTTATGAGCCCTCTTCTTAGGAAGCTTAAATCTTATTTTTTCAAAAAAGAAAAAAGGTTCAGATAGATATCCCTGAATAATTGTCAGAACAGTGCAAAAGTGGTGATGCTCGAACTTTCTTGTGAAAGCTAATCTCCTAAGGATATTGTTAACATCCAGTTTCTGACTCCTAGATCTGAGGTAGGGTTGGTTGGTGAGTCTGCATCTCTTATAAACTCCCATAGATAGACATGGGCCATCCCATCGTAGGCCTTGGAGAAGAGATTAGACGTGACAAATGAATGTGTTGGTATCTGAAGGTCTATTAATCTTCTGATACAATCTCCTAAATTTCAGTTGACCTCTAATTACATAGCCAATGAACTTTAATAAATCCAAAAAATGTACAGATGCACACTTATTTCTGTTGTTGAAAGGCTGGAGGTTGTAATGAGAATTGAAGATCTAAAACACCTTACAAATCCTGTTTAATACCATTTAACAGTACACTCTGATCAGAGATAGGTGTTCCAGTTATTTAAGGAGCCCAACTGTTCTTTTTCTTTTTTTTTTTTTTGAGACAGAGTCTCACTTTGTTGCCCAGGCTAGAGTGAGTGCCATGGAGGCAGCTTAGCTCACAGCAACTTCAAACTCCTGGGCTCAAGCAATCCTGCTGCCTCAGTCTCCCAAGTAACTGGGACTACAGGCATGTGCCACCATGCCCAGCTAATTTTTTCTATATATATTAGTTGGCCAATTAATTTCTTTCTATTTATAGTAGAGATGGGGTCTCGCTTTTGCTCAGGCTGGTTTTGAACTCCCGATCTCGAGCAATCCGCCCGCCTCGGCCTCCCAGAGAGCTAGGATTACAGGCGTGAGCCACCGCGCCCAGCCCAGCCCAACTGTTCTTGCCCTTTTTATTTGTATACTCAAAGGGAGGCCAGCAAAGTGGCTCATGCCAATTATCCCAACAATTTTGGAGGCTGAGCTCAGGAGTTATGATTATGCCACAGCACTCCAGCCTGGGTGGTAGAGTGAGACCCCAACTCTAAACAAAATAAAACTCAGAGGCATTCTTGCATCTGAAAAGTTAATGAATAAAAGAAAGACAATGCTTGTTACAGACTTTTTTTCTTTGAAGACTTGAATGGATTGCTGTGCTTAGACTATAATGCTTTCAATACTTTCTGCATTGAATGAGGTATGTAGGTGTCTTCTACTCAGTTACCCCAGACTGTTAAGGTTCTTGAGTACTTAAGATTTTCTGCCTTCTGTTCTCTCATTATCAGCAATCCTGTCCCATTCTAATCTGCTATTGGCTTGGAAATCTGGTCACCAACCTTATTACAATTGTACATAAAAATAAATAGGCTTTGTGTAGGAAGGGGTTCAAGGATGCTTGCTAGATAGTAAAGTCACAGATTGATCAAGTGTCTCTGCTCAACATTATTAGCAAAACTTTTATTATTTTTTATTTTTATTTTATTTTTTTTTTTTTTTTGAGACAGAGTCTCACTTTGTTGCCCAGGTTAGAGTGAGTGCCGTGGCGCCAGCCTGGCTCACAGCAACCTCAATCTCCGGGGCTCAGCGATCCTACTGCCTCAGCCTCCCGAGTAGCTGGGACTACAGGCATGCACCACCATGCCCGGCTAATTTTTTGTATATATATTTTTAGTTGGTCAATTAATTTATTTCTATTTTTGGTAGAGACGGGGTCTCGCTCAGGCTGGTTTCGAACTCCTGACCTTGAGCAATCCGCCCGCCTCAGCCTCCCAAAGTGCTAGGATTACAGGCGTGAGCCACCACGCCCGGCTAAGCAAAACTTTTAAAATTTTTAAAAAGGCACTTTAAGACTTTTCTTACTAGGGACTAAACCGGAGAGGTATAAGGCTGTCCTTTACCCAAATCATGAATAAGCAATAAAAGGGGTAAAATGGAAACTAGGAATAAACTATATTCGAATGTGAGATTCTCATCTTTTTAGCCATAAGATTTTTTAAGTTTTATTTTCCTCAAGGGGAAAATCAGGTTATTTCAAGAGAAGTGCTTTCTATCTTGTGAATATAGGTAAGAAATTCTTAGCTACTTTGAGATTTTTTTTGGATTATTAGTGAGTTTTTTGCACCATCAGATAGAATATCCAAGGTTTTCTTGTTTAATTTTAGAAATATTGTCTACCATCACTGAATATTATACTGTAATTGGAAAATAATAGTGAAAAATGTGACTTGGACACAATTTTGCATATCCAAAAATAGCTCATGATTGATGGCCTATATAGAAGCTAAAAGTCTACAACCTTGTATAGCTAATGGTTTATTATATATGACACCAAAAGCTCAAGCAGCAAAATAAAACATAGATAAATTGGGCATCACTAAAATTAAACATTTCTGTGCTTCAGAGAATGCTATCGAGGAAATAAAAAGACAACCCATGTATCAGAAGAAGCTTTTTACAAATCCCATATCCAATACGTGGTTCGTATCCAGAATATATAAATAACTCTTAAAACTCAACCATGAAAAGACAGCACAGTTGGAAAATGGGCAAAGGATAAGTAAACATTTGTCCAAAGAAGATACATAAATGACCAATACGCACACGTAAAGATACTCAACATCATCAATCATTAGGGAAATGCAAATTGAAACCACAATGAGATACTGCTTCCCCCCATTTAGGATGCCTATAATCCAAAGGAGAACAATAAGAAGTGTTGGGGAGGTTATGGAGAAGTTGGAATCCTCACTCATTGCGGGGGGAATGTAAAATGGTACAGTCACTTTGAAAAACATTTTGGCAGTTTCTCAAGAAGTTAAATACCATAGGATCCAGAAATTCTACTCCCAGCTGTATACCCAAGAGAAATGAAAATATAGATCTGCACAAAAACTTCCTCATGAATGTTCATAGCAGCATTATTCACAATGACCAAAAAGTAGAAACAATCCAAGTGTCCATGAACTGATGAATGGATAAACAAAATGTGGCATATTCCTTAATGGAATACTATTCAGCCATAAAAAGTAATGAAGTATGAATACATGTTACAACATGGATGAACCTTAAAAACATTATGCTATGAAAAGAAACCAGACAAAATAGGCCACATATATGTGATTTATACAAATTTTTTTCATTTATGAAATGTCCAGAATAGGCGAAATTTTAGGGGCAGAAAGAGTAATAATGGTTGCGAGGGCCTGAGAGAGTGAGGAGTTACTGCTAATAGTTAGGGGTTTCTGTATGGGAATGAAAAATTGGTGAAATTAGGGGTGATAGTAGCCCTACCTTGTAAATATACTAAAATCCACTGAATTGTACACTCGTCTTTTTTTTTTTTTTTTGAGACAGAGTCTCGCTTTGTTGCCCAGGCTAGAGTGAGTGCCGTGGCGTTAGCCTAGCTCACAGCAACCTCAAACTCCTGGGCTCAAGCAATCCTCCTGCCTCAGCCTCCCCAGTAGCTGGGACTACAGGCATGCGCCACCATGCCTGGCTAATTTTTTCTATATATATTAGTTGGCCAATTAATTTGTTTCTATTTATATTAGAGACGGGGTCTCTCTCGCTCTTGCTCAGGGTGGTTTCGAACTCCTGACCTTGAGCAATCCGCCTGCCTCGGCCTCCCAGAGTGCTAGGATTACAGGCGTGAGCCACCACACCCGTCCTTACACTTCGTCTTTAATGGTGCATGAATTTTACCTCAGTAAAGGTATAACTTTTTAAAAGTACCATGGATAGCGATATGTACACTCATTTTAATAATACAGTAAGTAGTCTGTCATTTCTAGATTTATCTTTTGACAATAATAAATTTAATTTCTTTTGCAGCAACAAAATGGTTCAACAAGTTCCAGAAAACATCAATTTTCCTGCTGAAGAAGAGAAAATCTTGCAGTTTTGGTCCAAATTTAATTGTTTTCAGGAATGCTTAAAGCAATCAAAACATAGGCCAAAGTATGTAAATTTCTTTTGGTAAGGGTAGAGTCCTTAAGAATAGTCATTCTTAGACTGAGTTCCGTTAAAGCAGAAACTCTTGATTCATCTTTATATTCCCAGAATCTCCTAGCTCTCTATATAGTGGGTAGTCAGTAGTATAAATATATACATTGAATGAATGCGTTCTTAATTATTGGGATAAATTCAGTTTCTTTAAGGGGTCATCTGGGTAATATGTATATATTACTCTGTTTCTTTCCACCTTTATCCTCATCACCATCCCCATTTAGGCACTTATACCTAAGTATAAGCCTATAGAAGGCTACTATGGTACTACCTTCCCCTATTCCCCATTCACCTAAAAGACCAGTCCTTTAATCACTGTTTTTATTTATTTATTTTTGTTGTTTTGAGACAGAGTCTCACTCTGTTGCCGGGCTAGAGTGTCATGGTGTCAGCCTAGCTCACAGCAACCTCAAACTCCTGGGTTCAGGCGATCCTCCTGCCTCAGCCTCCCGAGTAGCTGGGACTACAGGCATGCACCACCATGCCCAGCTAATTTTTTTTCTATATATTTTTAGTTGTGCAGCTAATTTCTTTCTATTTTTTTAAGTAGAAACGAGGTCTCGCTCTTCCTCAGGTTGGTCTCAAACTCCTGAGCTCAAACGATCCCAGAGTGCTAGGATTACAGGTGTGAGCCATCACGCCCGGCCTCTGATCCACTCTTTTTATTATATACTCTTCTCAAAAACTTTATGAGATTGGTGTTTATTACCCTATTTTATTGATGAGATAACTCAAGATCAGGATAAATAACTTTCCTTATCATGGAACTGATAAATGAAGAATGAATAGTTGAATGATGATCTCTCCAGCTCTACCATAACTGTAGTTTTTCTGAAGGCAGGAACACCAGTAAATATCTAATCAATTATGTCTAGCAATTTTCTCATCTTGCCGCTTTCTGCTTTTCTTCTTCCTAAAGACTCCACTCTGACAGTAGCTATTAATAGAAAAGTGTTGTCCTGACTTTTTACTGTTTGTTTTAAAATGACTATTGTATTTTTATTACCTCTGTTAGATTTACTTTCTATGATGGGCCTCCTTTTGCAACTGGACTGCCTCATTATGGACATATACTTGCAGGGACAATTAAAGATATAGTTACAAGATATGCTCACCAGAGCGGCTTTCACGTTGACAGAAGATTTGGATGGGATTGTCATGGGTTACCTGTGGTATGTTTGAGTCTCTCTAGCCTTATAATGGTTTAATTTTTAATATGCATTAGATTTCATCATGTATTTATATATTACATAGATTTCATCATGTAATATGTTAAAGTATGATGAATTTTGACTATCAAAAGTCTTATGTCAGGCTTTTTCTTCATTTCTCTAATAATATTTATAGTTTATTTTCTGTATAGATTTTCTGAGAACTGGTCTTTTTAAAACTGTTTTATTTTCTGGAGTCATATAGTTGCAGTTGTTTCATAGGGCAAGAGTATTAACAATCTTATCACAAATTTTCAGGAATATGAAATTGATAAAACACTGGGAATCAGAGGACCAGAGGATGTGGCCAAAATGGGGATTGCAGAGTATAACAGTCAGTGCCGAGCAATTGTGATGAGGTATTCTACTGAGTGGAAGGTAGGTTGAGTTGTTTTCAGTAATATGAACACAAAGTTTAGTTTCTAAATTGGAGTTGAAATGGTTTATGGTTCCTTGTGCTTTTTATGAGATGGTCCCCAAAACATGGCTGTCCATGTGAAGTTGTGACACAAGAGCTGACTATCCTCTTTACACTGTGTATCCCTGAAAAGGGATCATTAACTTCCACCTCCAATCCTATTACTTAAACTGAACCCTCTCCTTTCTGATCTCCATATGCTTGATTGGTCTTCCATATTTAAACTCTTATCTATTCACAGTATATGACAGAAGTGATGGTGTTATAGCAAATAGCTTTATTTGAATATTTGAATAATTCAGATGTTAAAATTCAAGTTTGGACCCATTCTTATTACATTAATTTGACTCCCGTGTTGCCCACTCCTTCTCTTAGTAATAGAGCTCCTACAGCTGGCAAAACTCCTGTCCTCTCTTATTCTTATGGGCTTAGGAATAAAGTCCCCTCTTCCCTGCCTCTAAGATTAAATTAGTATATCTGTATGATCTTAAACCATGTCTGGCTTTCTTCCCTCCATGTTCTCCATCTTACCTTTGACCTTCAAACTTGCTGTTCTTCAGAATTCCCTATTCTGCCAGTGATATGATTCAGGCTTCAACAATTAATCCTCATGAGCAAATTAGGTACCACATCCTATCAAGTCTTTCTTCTTATTATCTAGTTGTTCACTTTTATACTCTTTCTCTAGCCTCTCACCCACCATCATCTTCATTTCTGTGACAGTTTCTAATCAGTCTCCTCCTCGTGTTCTTTCCACTCAGGCTTCCTTCCATGTTCTCTCTCCCACAAGACTGTATTCACTATGCTCTTCCTCTCAGATACCTTAAGTAGCTTCTCTTCATTGGTGAATCAAATCTAATTCCATCAACATGAAAATCAAAGCTCATCAGTTTCTCACAACCTAACTTTATTGCCTGGTCACCAGTAAGGAAAAATCCTAGTGAATATAACATGGATACAGGCCTCTTCTTTTTTTTTCTCAAGTATTTAAAAAAATTTTAACTTTTTATTTTGAAATAATTTCAGACTTACCAGAAAATTACAAGAAATAATGCAATGAGTTAACCTCTGCCCTTCATCTACCTTTATAAATTGCTAACATATTCAATAACTGTAGTATGATTTTATAAAGGAGGAAATTAACATTGATAAAATGCTACAGATCTTATTCATATTTTTACCCGTTGTCCCACTAATTTTTATTTCTTTTCTTGTTGTTTTGTTTTTATTTATTTATTTATTTTTGAGACAAAGTCTCACTTTGTTGCTCAGGCTAGAGTGCCATGGTGTTTGCCTGGCTCACAGCAACCTCAAACTCTTGGGCTCAAGCAATCCTTCTGCCTCAGCCTCCTGGGTCGCTGGGGCTACAAGCATGCATCACCATGCCCGGCTAATTTTTTCTATATATTTTTAGTTGGCCAATTAATTTCTTTCTATTTTTAGTGGAGACGGGGGTCTCGCTCTTGCTCAGGCAGGTTTTGAGCTCCTGACCTTGAGCGATCTGCCGGCCTCAACCTCCCAGAGTGCTAGGATTACAGGTGTGAGCCACTGCGCTCGGCCTAATTTTTATTTCTGATCCAAGATTCAATCCAGACTCTTGCAATGCATTTAGTTTTGTTGTATCTTCTTACTCTCCTTCAATACAGAACATTCATTCAGTCTTTCTTTGTCTTTTGTGACCTTGTCACTTTTAAAGAGTGCAGACCAGTTATTTTATAGAGTGTCCCTCAATCTCTGATGCTTCCTTGTCATCCAGTTTTGATTATGCATTTTTGTGAGAATGCCATAGAAGTGCTCTCATGTCCTTCTCAGTATCTCTTATAAGTTGGCATATGTTGTTGCTATGTCTCATTAATGATGACAACTTTGTTCACTTGATCTGTCAGGTTTGTCCTTTGGAAAGCTTTTCCTTTTTAATAAGTATCTTGTGGGTAAATTCTTTGCAAATATTCCCTTACTTACCATGTTTTCGCTCATTAATTTTAGCATCCATTGATGATTTTTGCCCATAACAGTTATACCTGTGATGTTTGCAAAATGGTAGTAGTGTTGGTAGACTTTTATAAGCAAATGTTTATACTTGTAAATAACATTATCTGCGTATAGGGTAAATGCCAAGAAAACTTGTTGACCTTATATAGTGTGTTGTTTTGCAATATAGATTTACTTGAACCATTGATTGCACTGTTTTCCTAAGACTATCAAATGTGACAATAGAAATAAACATGCAGAGATATACAAGAACAAATATCATTGTCTAATACTATTCCAATATATATATATTTTTTTAAAGTCTACTGTTACCAGACTTGGCCGATGGATTGATTTTGACAATGACTACAAAACTCTGTATCCACAATTCATGGAATCTGTCTGGTAGGTTTCTTGAAAATTGTAAATATAATAGTATTCTGTTGTATTGGTCAATGGAGAAGTACAGTAGCATGAGTCAATTTGTTTTCAGGTCCATAATTATTTATCTGAAATCTTTGAGAACAGGTATGTTTTTGAATTCAGGAGATTTTGAGTTTGAGAAATATAATAAGGTATGCATATATTCTTTATTATATAATAGCCAGTTCAACAGTAACCTATAATCAAATACATTAGGATTTCTGCATCATAGAATAAATAAAGAATATCCAGTCTGGACAACATAGCAAGACCTTGTCTCTACAAAATATAAAAAATTAGCCAGGCATGGTGTTGTGTGACTATAGTCTTAACTACTCAGAAGGTTGAGGCAAGAGGATAAAAGAGCCCAGGAGTCTGAGATTGCAATGAACTGTGATCACACCTCTGCACTCCAGCCTGGGTGACAGAGTGAGACTCTGTCTCTAAAAAAAAAAAATAAAAAGTTTTTTAAACAAAAATATATAAATAAAAATTTTAAAAATAAAGAATGTGGCCTGATGTCAAAATATTTTTGCCAAATTAGTTTACAGAAGTGGGGTTTTTTGTTTATTTTGTTAGGGATTAAATCCAAGAGATTGTGTACTTGAATTTAATGCTGAAAATTGTATGGTGAAGTCACCATTACCTAATAGTTACAGAAGAAATTTTAATCCTTTTTATTATAATATAATGGTAGCAATGCCAATCTTGTTAAGTGGTTTAGCCTGGGCCTCCTACAATAGTTTGAGAATTATTACTTGGCAGACAGTCACCATCAGTATGGTTGCAAAATATCCTAGATATATAAACTCAGCCTTGAGGAATTCCTACTTTTATTAAATTACATATAAAAATGCAAGTGAATTGGAAAGCTATTTTTTAAGATACAATGTCTTGGCATTGCATTGTAGGTACCTGTGGCTCTTGTTGCCTTCTTGTCTACCTACTCAAATTGCTATTAATCAAGACCTGTTGTAGATGCTTGACATATATCCTTTGACTTTGAGGAGCTAGATACCTTTAGACAGTTCTTCAGACCCTCAGACTCTGACAGGACTCTGAGGATGCATCTCCAGGCCTCCATACCCAAAGGTGTGAAGCCAATCAGATTTTCTGACATGCCAGAGACTTTGGACAGGGGGCTTCCCATTCACTGAGCAGCTGGAGTTCCTATGACTAGAGCATGTAAAAACCAGATTTTGTTTTTTTTTTTTTGTTTGTTTGTTTTTTCACCACGACATGATTCAGGAAAAACCAGATTTTGTATTAAACATCTGGGAAAAAACCAACAGGACTAGTGAGCACTTTAGTGGCTAGTGTGTGTAAGAACCTGAATTTTTAATTTTAATAAATTAAATTAATTTATATTTTTAATTTTTAAAGATTTAAATTTAAAATCACACATGGTTAGCTACCATGTTAGTGAATACAGCTGTAAATTCTCCTTAATTTACATAAAACTAGCTTGGATAGGGAGGAAAACTTTTTTTTTTACTGTCGTCTGGGCTAGAGTCCAGTAGAGTTATTGTAGCTCGCTGGAACCTCAAACTCCTGGGCTCAAGTGATCCTCCTGCCTTAGCCTCTGGAGTAGTTGGGATTATAGGTGAGCACTACCTCACCCAATTAGGGATTTTTTTGTTTGGTTTTTTTTGGGGGGGGGGTTTTCTAGAGACAGAGTCTTGCCTTTCCTCAGTCTAGTCTTAAATTCCTGGCCTGAAGCAGTCATCCCACCTCAGGCTCCAAAGGTGCTAGGATTACAGATGTGAGCCACAGTGCCTGGCCTGGAAAACTGTTTTATTTTTTTTTTTTTTTGAGACAGAGTCTCGCTTTGTTGCCCAGGCTAGAGTGAGTGCCATGGCGTCAGCCTAGCTCACAGCAACCTCAAACTCCTGGGCTCAAGTGATCCTCCTGCCTCAGCCTCCCAAGTAGCTGGGACTACAGGCATGCACCACCATGCCCGGCTAATTTTTTGTATATATATTAGTTGGCCAATTAATTTCTTTCTATTTATAGTAGAGACGGGGTCTCGCTCTTGCTCAGGCTAGTTTCGAACTCCTGACCTCGAGCAATCCGCCCGCCTCGGCCTCCCAGAGAGCTAGGATTACAGGCGTGAGCCACCGCGCCCGGCCTGGAAAACTGTTTTAAAAGCCTCTTGATATTAAAATGTTTGTTATTCCTGAGAAACATGTTGGCATATAAATATGGCACATGGACTGCAGGTTAATATAAAAATAGTAGGAAATATCTTTAATAATAATATTAATAATGGTGATAATTTAGATTGAGTTGGTATATAAAGTACTTCCACATAAATTTTCCCATATGACGCAGAGAGTCCTATGGATTGGCTTAGGACCCTGTTTGAGGTAAAGGCAAGTTGTTGTGACTTGCCTGAGAATAGCCAGCTAATATCATCGTTCTGAGACTTAACCTAGGTCTTATTATAACAAATCTATTGTACTCTTCCTCTAGTCTGCTTTGAATATCCTTGTATCAAAGGATGTAAATTAAGATTGAGTGTAAACTTGGGAATTTGCTTTAAAATATCTTTTTTTTAGCTTTATCTAAAGCCATAGGAATAACATTTAAAAAGTACATTTTTCATAAAAACATCATTTTAAAAAGTGGGAAAGAGTTTAATTCATTTATTATGCCAGGAACATAAGAATTAGAATATAAAGATGAATTAAATAAAGTTAGAATTAAGTAAGGGTTCCCACCAATACACTGTTATCTAGCTGAGACGGGTGAGTAGTCATTACAGGAGAACTTGTGACTGTTATGGTTGATGTTTACACGGTGTCTTTGTACACTTAATGCAACATTTAAGTGTTCAGCAAAAGTTTTTGACTAACTGTGGGAGAGATAACTGATCCTAATCCTCATAGTTTGTACTTTTTAAATTGCTTTTGTAAAACTGCACATTATAATGAAATTGAAACAATACACCAGAAAACTACTTCAAGAAAAAGCTCTGAAAACTCAAGCATAGTTAATATGTTGGTAAAAATCTGTTTTCGACATCTCTAAAAAATGTAAATGTGTATGCTAATACGTACATCTGTACATTATTGATACCTGACTGTATAATATGGTCTGTCAGTTCCTTTCCTTAGTCAACATGTTTTGATCATCTTTCCATGTCAATAGCTATTAACACTTGAAATGTCTGCATAATGTCTTATTATATTGATCTATTGTAATTTGTCAGCTGGCCCTCATGTGAGAGTTGTTGTTTTTTCACTTCTTTGGCGGATAGAAACTTTAAACAAAAAATGGCATAACTGTTTATACTTGGGAAAATAGAATTTTGGTTATGTAATTATAGAACTCCATCTCTTGCTAGGTGGGTCTTCAAACAACTCTATGATAAAGGCCTTGTTTATAGAGGTGTGAAAGTCATGCCCTTCTCCACCGCCTGCAACACTCCACTTTCCAACTTCGAATCACACCAGAATTATAAGGTATGTGAAATGCTGAGGCGTCATTTAGCTTTGAGTTATATACATGGAAGTTAAATGATTGGGATCACAGTAGATATTCCCAAGTAGTTCCAATGTAGAATGTTAACCTGTAGCATCAGTCTGACCACTGTTTACTGAGTGCTTATAAGAGCCTCAGTACAGAGATTGGTAATGTTAACAGATTTTAAATGAGGGATTTTTTTTTCATGTTTGATTTATGTTGTGTCTTAATGTGATAGGATTTGCTTACTTTGACCATATTTTTATGCCTCTCTCTATGGTTAAGTTCATCTCCAACATCTCTGCAGTCATCATTTCTTCAGGCTTACTGGTTTGGGTGAATTTATGCCTTATCTGGGACCTCATAACATTATTTTTTAAAGGAATTTGGAAGAAAATTTAAAGTGGGATGGTAAATGGTATTATGAGCTCTTCTCTAGTGAAATAAAATCACTTGCCATTGTTGCTATGATAGAAGTGTTTAGACATATCTGATCTTTACAAAGACACTGCTTTATATCTAGACACGTAATAAATAGTAGTGAGTCTTCTGAAGCATGAAGTGTATGTTCTCGTGTGTATATTCAGGAGATGTTTTCATTTTTAAGAGTTTATGTAACCCTATGTTTTTAAAGGATGTTCACTTGTTTGGAATTCTTGTTTTATGGCACAGGTGTGGAATTTTGTTAGTAAAACTTGCATTTTCAAAAGCACTTTTTAATCTTTCACATAACCCATTTGACCTTTGCAAATCCTTGTGAGGTGGGTATGACAATTCCTGTTGTCTCCTAAATACTCCTCTGTAATTGTTCATGTTGTCTGTATGTTTTTAATAAAATATCTTAACATGAAAATATGGAAAATAATGATCACCTCCATACCAAGGCCTAGCTTTGTCAAATCTTAATATATTGGCCAGGTGCTGTGTTTCACGCCTGTAATCCTAGCACTCTGGGAGGCCAAGGCGGGAGGATTGCTCAAGGTCAGGAGTTTGAGACCAGCCTGAGCAAGAGCGAGACCCCGTCTCTACTAAAATAGAGAGAAATTAATTGGCCAACTAAAAATATGTAGAAAAACTTAGGCATGGTGGCACATGCCTGTAGCCCCAGCTACTCGGGAGGCTGAGGCAACAGGATTGCTTGAGCCCTGGAGTTTAAGGTTGCTGTGAGCTAGGCTGCCGCCATGGCACTCACTCTAGCCTGGGCAACAAAGCGAGACTCTGTCTCAAAAAAAAAAAAACAAACTTAATATATTGCAGTATTTGCTTACTTTTTAAAATCACTTTAGTAAGGAAAATTTCAAGCACAAGCAAAAGTAGACAGAAGTAATTAGCTCCAATAGACTTGTCAGCCATCCTGACCCATTCACACACCTCTGGTTCTCCAAATTTCAGGTATTGTATATTTTATCAAGAAAGAATCCAGTGTTGATCTTTGATAAGGAATCTGTCTTTTTTTTTAACCTTATTATATTAGTATTTATTACCCCTAAAAAAAGTGATTTTCAGTCACCTTTAATATCCTTAATATTCTGATTATTTAATTCCTGAATATTATCATTATTCACATCTCAAATTGTTTCATCACTTCACCTAGGATAATTTTTCGTTTTTTCGATCAAGATCTACCAAAGGCTCACCAAAGACAGTTTTCTTTTAGGTCTTGCCTTACTTAGTCCATTTGTGCTGCTATAATAAAATCCCTTAGACTGAGTAATTTATAAACAATAGTAATTTATTTTCACAGTTCTAGAGGCTGAGAAGTCCAAGTTCAAGGCATTGGCAGATTCAGTGTTGATGAAGGCTGCTCTCTGCTTCCAAGATAGCACCCCTTGTCACTTTGTCCAAACATGGCAGAAGCAGAAGGGCAAGAAAAAAGTGCCTATCGAGTTCCCTTGAGCCATTTTATTAGGTCTTTAAATATGAAATGTATGATTTTGAATCAAAAGTGATGTTTATTTTATCTCAAACAAGAAGCAGTACGATTAATCAAAGTATGAGACTAAACTGTTAGCACAGTTTTACCATCTTAATGGTAGCTTGTTTATGCCAGTAGCGAAGAAGAAGCCTGGAGAGCAAGTGGTGAAGTCACAAAAGGCATTTTCCACAGCTTCTTGAGAATTGAATATTTTTCCTTGAAAGAAGTGATCCAAAACTTGAAAGAAATGGTAATCATTTGACACAAAGTCTGGTGAATACGGTAGATGACAGAAAATTTCCAAGTCCAGCTTCCGTTGTTTTAGCAGAGTTGTTTGTTTGACATGTGGTTAAGCATTGTGTTACAAGAGCATTGACCTGTCTCTGTTGACCAGTCTCAGCTGCTTGATTGCAAGCATCCTCATCATTTCCTCTGATTGCTTGCAGTAGACATCTACTGTAATCGATTTACCAGGTTTCATGAAGTTGTAGTGGATAATACCGGCACTGGACCACCAAACAGACACCGTTAGCTTTTTTGATGAATATTCAGTTTTAGACTGTGTTTCGACACTACATCTTTATCCATCCATTGTGCAGGACGCTTGCAGTTGTTAAAAAGAATCCATTTTCATCACATGTAACAAGATGGTGTAGAAGTGGTTCGCCTGTATTATGTTGTGAAAGCAAAGAAAAACTTCAAGACGATTTCTCTTCTGATGCTCATTTAATTCATGCGATACCCATCTATCCAGCTTCCTTACCTTGCTCATTTGTTTCCAGTGGTCCAACATTGTTGGAATAGTTATGTCAAACCTTGGCACTAATTCACATGTATGTAGGTTGAGATGGCTCATCTCCCACAATACCTTTCAGCTCATCATTATCCACCTTGGTGTTCATCCACATCGCTCATTCTGAAGATTAAAATCACCAGAATGGAACTTCTCAAACCATTGACTTACTGTATGTTCATTAGCCACATCCTTCCCAAACACTTGGTTGATATTCCATAGCATGAATTTTTTTACTTATCCATGGTTTCACAGAAGTTGCCTTTAAAAAAAAATAGTGAAAGATGGTCACAAGCCAAAATGTGAATTTGAGAGAATGTGATTTATCTTCACAAAAAAAAAAAGAAAAGAAAAAGAAAAAATGAAATGTCAGCAATGTCAACTGTCAGACTTAGTACTTAGGGTAACCAGACATTCCATATTTACTAACCTAATAGTATTGGAGTTGGTAAACTTTTTCTGTAATGTAAATATTTTAGTTTTCTGGGGCTAGATCTGTGGTCTCTAACCCCTGGGGCTTAGAGGGGACTGGGCTGAGGAGTTCTGCCTCCATCCCCCAATAGTAGAAAAATTGTCTTCCATGAAATTGGTCCCTGATGCAAAAAACGTTGGGGACCACTGAGCTAGATGGTCTCTATTGCACACATTCAACTCTGTCAAAACCATTCTTAGCTTACCTGCTGTATGAAAACAAGCAATGAACCAGAATTGTCCAATGGGCTGTGGTTTGCTGACCCCTATTCTAAGAAGTACTAGCAAACAGTTTCCCAAAGCAATTCTACGTATTTATAACTGAACAGTTCTGATTTCTCTGCATTCTTGCTCATGTTGACATTTTCTTTTTTCATTTTACTAATTTTAATATGTTAATATTTTGTGTATTAATTGTAACTGAGGGTTTTTTAAAATTATTTAGAAATTTTAACTTTTAATTCTTACGTAATTTCAGACTTACAGAAAAGTGAAGATGATTCTGTATATCCTTCAACTAGTTTCCCTAAATGTTAACCTTTTACCATATTTGCTTTCCCCTTCTCTCTTTTTTATGGGGCTTATTACCCTTTGAAGGGTAAGTTACAGAAATTAATTACAGCTTTAAAAACTACTTGTTTCCTAAAAATCAATAACCTTGTTTTAAATAATTGAAATTAGAAAATTAACATTGATACCATATTAGCTAATCTATAAATCTTATTCAGGTTTTAGTTGTCCCAATATTATCTTTTATGAAGAAAATCCTAGATTTTGTGCTTCATTTAGTTGCTATTTCTCCAGCCTTCTTCAATCTTAAACAGTCTCTCTATATTTCATGATGCTGACGTATTAATATTTAAAGAGGCACAGGCCAGTACGTTTGTAGTGTCCCTCATTTCATCTTCGTTTCATGTTTTACATGTGAGTAAGAGCTTCTTTTTCTCATGAAATTTATTTAGAGTGCAGGTGGTTTGTTTGGGGGTTTGGTTTTTTGTACTTTAGAGCTATTTAAAATTCTTGATATTTTGATGTTGAAACATTGCCATAGAGTTGGAGCCAATCTTTTATTTAATGAGCTGAATTAATATTACTTTATTATAATTTCAAGTATGGTGTTTCAATAGGATCCTTTTGATTTTTTTGTTGACCTTATTCTTCATAGATATATGGTAAAGTGTATAATTGTAATAGTAAAACCACCATTACATATTTCTCTTTATACATTACTTTAAAAAGTTATCAGATGTCTTAAAATGTTTTATATTTGTAACTAAGATAATATTAAAACATTTCTTAAAAATTTTTACTTGGAATTTCTGCCTTTGTATTTTCTTTTTATAACTGTGGCAAATGTTCTTAAGAGCTCAGTTTATTCTAAAAATTTATTTATCTTATTCTTGGGATCAGTGGGGTTTTTTTGTTGTCTGCTATCATGGATTTGTAAAACAGTACTTTATCTCAATTTATTTCAGGATGTTCAAGATCCTTCAGTATTTGTAACTTTCCCTTTGGAAGAAGATGAAAGTATATCTTTAGTTGCTTGGACAACCACTCCCTGGACTCTACCTAGTAACCTTGCCCTCTGTGTTAATCCAGATATGCAGTATGTAAAGATTAAAGGTACTGGTTACTTATGGTTAATATGGATAAGATAATTTTATATTTGGGGAAACTATAAAAGCTTGCAAGAATTAAAAAGAATTCCTGGAAAAGAATCTGATTAATCAGAAAAATTATAGCTAAAAAGTTTTATCATTTCTGATTGAAAAGTAACACATAGACTGGGCGTGGTGGTTTGCTCCTGTAATCCTATCGCTCTGGGAGGCTGAGATGGAAGGATCACTTGAGGTCAGGATTTTGTGACCAGTCTGAGCAAGAAGGAGACCCCATCTATACCAAAAATAGAAAAAATTAGCCAGGTGTGGTAGCATGTGCCTGTAGTCCCAGCTACTCTGGAGGCTGTGACAGAAGGATCACTTGAGCCCAGGAATTTGATGTTGCAGTAAGCTATGATGACACCACTGCACTGTACCTGGGACAACAGAGCAGGACTCTGTCTCAAAAAAAAGGAAAGAAAGAAAAGTAACACAAAAAAATTTAAATAGTACAGAGATGTAAAACTCAGAAAGTAAAATTTTGTTATAATTCCCAATTTGTAATATTGGTTGTACACATCATCCTATTATAGATGAAGAATCTAAGATTTGGAGATGTGGCATCACATAGTTATTAGGAATTGGTACCAGAACTTTAAAAGTTTGAGTCTTTCAAATATTCCTTGCTAGAGGAATAGTTTAAACTAGGACTTTTCCTTAGATATTTATATGAAATAAGATTGATACCTTGTGAACTAATAAACAAACCTAAGTGAAATCAACCAGTAAGAGAAGGGCAGATACTATACGATTCCACCCAGAAGAGGTACCTGGAAGTCAAATTCAGAAAGAAAAACAGTAGTAAAATGGTGGTTGCCAGAGGCTGGGAGGGAAAGGGAATTTATTGTTTAAGGAGTACAGAGTTTCAGTTTGGAAAGATGAAAACATTTTTAAGTATTGATAGTGTTACTGATTACACAACATTGTGAAGGTGTTTAATGCCACTTAGGAATGGTTACAATGATTTTTTTTAAATAACTGTATCATAACAGTTAACTTGTTTCACAATAACTTATACTGGCAAGGGGAGAATATTGAAAAAGGAATGGGAGAATATTGGAAGTCAGAAAAAAAGAGAGAGATGGAGTACTTTATGTGTTTTTCCTTGGAAGCAGATAGGAACAAGAATTGGCCTGCCAGAAAGAGCTATCATCCACACACAGGTCTGGCTGCAGTGCTGCAACTGCTTCTCTGGGGCAAGTGCAATCCCGTGTGCACAGTTGCCTTGTGTCACAGTTGGGTCACTGGACATTCTGTAATGAGCCTGACAGCCTTGTGCTTGGCAGTCTTTGTAGCTGAGTTTTATCAGAAAATGAGGACTCCACTTTTAACAAAGTTCTTGTGAGGTTGGAGCTGGGGAATGGCAGCCTTATGTGTAACAGTTTTTCAATGAATTACAAAGGCTTTTGCAATGATTCATAGATTCTCATTTTACTTGTAGTGAACTGACTATATGACATAGGCTCTGGTAAATTCTTGAGTATATCATACCTTACTGGTGGAAGTTTTAAGTTGCCCTAGGTTTTGTCAGTATTGAATTTTATTGTATTTTACTTTTTAGGGGATGGTGTCTCGTCTGGGCTGGAGTGCAGTGGTGCAGCCATACCTTACTGCAGCCTCAAATTCCTAGGCACAAGGCAATCCTGCCTTAGCATCCAAGTTGCTGGGACTATAGACACACCCCATCAGACCTGGCTAATTTTTCTTCATTTTTGTAGAGACAGTGCCTCACTGTGTTGCTCGGACTCAAACAGTCCTCCCTCTTTGGCCTCCTAAAATGCTGGGATTACATGCAGGAGTCACCACACTCGGCAGTATAAAATTTTAAATGTTCATACATTTGCTCCAGCTTTTCTATTCCTAAGATAGTATCCTCCAGAAGCACTTCTAATAAGGGTGCACAGATATATAGAAAAACATTGATTATGCCAGTGTTCATAGTAGTGAAAATTTGAAAGCAATTTAAACATATAATAGTCGATTTGTTTCATATAACTAGTGGTGCCTGCATAAAATGGAGTCCTGTATAGCTCTTTAAAAGAATGAGAAGGATCTGTATGTGCAAATATATAGAAAGATACTCACAATATATTAAGTAAAAACAAGTTGCAAAACTATATAGACTATTCATAATTGTTTTTTTTTTAAATCTCACATTTACATATAAGTTTGTTAGTATGTGCATAGAATGATATCTGGATGAATAGACACCCAAATGAGAATGTGCGAAAGGGCGTAAGATTACAGGTGACTTTTACATTGTGAGCTACTTGGTTTGTTAATTTTATGATTTTTAAACAGTCACATATATTATCTTTAGAAGGAGAAAATAAAGATGAATTTACTTAAAAAGGATATAGGTGTGATAGATAATAAATAGCACTGCCTAACTGATGTTTTTGTCATTTTCGTATCTGGGAAGCAATATTCCTCTGTGAGTACTGGGCACACTAGGTGCACGTGATACAGGTGCTCCCCAGGAAGAAGGTATGCCTGATATGTGTCTTTAGAGTCAGCAAAGTCTGAATATAACTGAAGTTCACTTTTTGTCTCGCTCTCATAGATCTTGCCAGAGAAAAATTACTCATTTTAATGGAAGCCAGATTATCAGCCCTCTATAAACTGGAGAGTGACTATGAGATCCTTGAAAGGTGAATATTCAAATAGTTGATGTATATGTGTCTTTATTTTTAAAAAGAGAGGAGCTTTATTATCCAAAATCTGTAGTATTCAAATTTAGTTGTAAGTACTCATACTGAGTATGTTCAAGTGAAACATTTCAATTTTAATGACTAAGGAACCAGCAAATTAGAGGGGGCTTATGGCTTAATGTGGCTGCAGCCTCAGTTCTTTAATTTTAATCTAATTATGACTTTCTCCTTTTCTAGATTTCCTGGTACCTGTCTTAAAGGCAAAAAATACAGACCCCTGTTTAACTACTTTGTGAAGGTAAGCTTATGACTGCCTACTGCAGGGGCTCACCACAGTCTGTTTATCTGATAGTTGGAGTGAAGTGATGACTGGAATTCCATTGTCTTACTGTTAAATTGTTCAAGTGAGTGTGCCCGCATCCAAAAGTCTGCTTTAGTATTAACAAAATTAAATCGTTTGTGTTACCTTCTTGTTTTAGTAATTAAAATCTTGGAATTTTTCTTTTTAGCACAGCTGTAGATTTTTCTTAATATTTTTCTCATTATGTGAGGAATCATGTTACATTTGATTGTGTATATTTTTGTGTGTGTTTTTTTATTGCATGCAGTCTACGTATCACCCAGAGTATTTGGGGTTTTATTTTTTTTTAACACATCACAGTCCAAGATAAGACATTTGCTGGCCCCTATATTCCTATTAAGTGCAGGGAGAGTTTGTTTGATATAGGTGAACTCTGAGGTTTAGCTTCTGTCCACTATATGTCTGTCTCTTCATTTTTGTGCACCCTGTTTTCCCACATTTTTTGTTACCTGCCTTAATGGCCTTCTTCCTCCTTCCAAGTTGCTGTGCAGTGGATTTCCATATGCTCTCCCCTCTTTCCATCTCTCCCTGGAAGGCTTTAGTTTGCCACTGTTCAGGATGTGCCGCAGCTGGTATGCAGCAAACCTGCTTCCCAACCACGTCCCTCTATGTTGCATTAAACATATCCTTCAGTCAGCCAAAACGGTTCTTTTCTTACATTCATTCCCTCCTTTTCCATTATATTTTCCGACCATTTTAAAAGTCCCCTCCCCATTTTTTCATGTTGTATCTCCTGAGTGCAACCCACCCTTCAAGTCTGAATTCACATGTCATATGAAAGAAGAGTTTTCTGAAATGCCTTTGTTTTCTCCCTTGGAAAAAATGTCATACTGCATTCTTCTCTTATATACCTTGACATATTTTATGTTTTATTTCTTTTTTTTATTGTCTAAAAACTCTTCCAATGGATCAGTGACTCTTTACCTTTCTGAATCATAGACTCTATTGAGAAGCTAAAGAAATCTAAGCCCTCTCAAACAATCCACATGGACACACTAGATGGGAATTTTTGATTAAGTCAGAAGTCTGTCTGGAATATACACCCAGTAAATACAGAATTAAGTTGAATAGCACCTATCTATTGAATAACCTTTCTGGAATATCTGAAACCTTCAGGGACTTTAGATAGGTACTATATATCCTTTGACCTAGGACAAAATCTTCTGACATTTATCTGAAATATCAAGGGAAGCTGTGACACTAGATGCCTGTAGGGCAAAATTGCAGATCTTGGTGGTGTCTGCTAACCGAGGTGGAGGCAACCCAGCCATGGTCTGGGTAGGCCCCAAGTGGCTCTTGAGAGACAAGATACAATGAGGGCTTTCCTCTTTTGCCCTTAGAACCAGTAAGATACTCTTGGGCTCACTGTGTGTTGTACATGTGATTCTGAGGACCCACATATTCCTTTTCTGTTGTTGTTTTTTTGAGATAGAGTCTCACTCTGTTGCCCAGGCTAGGGTGCCATGTCATCAGCCTAGCTCACAGCAACCTCAAACTCCTGGGCTCAAATGATCCTCCTACCCCAGACTTCTGAGTAGTGGGGACTACAGGTGTGTGCTACCACACCCGGCTAATTTTTTCTATTTTTGGTAGAGGTGGGGTCTAGTTCTTGCTCAGGCTCTTCTAGAACTCCTGAGCTCAAGGAACCCTCCTGCTTCAGCCTCCCAGAGTGCTAGGATTATAGGTGTGAGCTGCCGCGTCTGGGCAGGACCCACATTATTCTACCTCCATGTTTAAACTGTTGAAGACACATCTTTTAGCACCTAGCATACTACATCTGAAATGTTTTGAGTTGATTTGGGTTATAGCAATAAAAATTCATGATTATTTTTCAGATTTAAAGTTCCCAAGAAGCATAGTGCTTTGATATAGTTGGAAATAACATTGCATTTAGAACCAGAAAACTTTGTTTCAAGTCCTGGTTTCATCATTGTTAGTTATGTGATTCTGAGTTTGGTTATCTGTGAAATGCAAATAACAGCAATATTTTTTTTTAAGACAGGGTCTCTCTTTGTTGCCTAGGCTTGAGTGCAGTGGCATCATCATAGCTCACTGCAACCTCAAACTCCCAGACTCAAGCGATCCTCCTACCTTAGCCTCCCAAGTAGCTAGGACCACAGGTGCACACCAGTGTGCCTGGCTACTTTTTGTTTGTTTCTATGTTCTTTGTTTTGTTTTTGTGTTTTAGAGGCAAGGTCTTGCTGTGTTGCCCAGGCTGGTCTTGAACCCCTGACCTCAAGCAGTCTTCCCACCTTAGCCTTTCAAAGTACTAGGATTACAGGCATGAGCCACCATGCCTGGCCAGCCATAATATTTTTAAGACATAGGAATACTGATGCCTTTTTCACCAGATTATAGGAATTAAATGTGCAAGTCATTTTGGAAGTACTTTTTACCAACACTGAGAGGTAGGGCAACAAAGATCCAGTTTGGCAGAAGCAAGAGTATGTGAAAAAAATACGAAGAGATGAACATAGAGTAGATCTGTTAGCGTTGTATGTATTAACCGGATGCTATTGCTATTATAATGAAAATCAAATTGAACACATTTCCCCTAAGTTTTACTGTGATGGAATACCTATAAATAACCCATAATTCTTTGCTGCTCCACCTGTTCCTTTCAAGATTTGCCTTTTATGACAGAATAACTTGAACTGGGTTGAAAGAAAAAGAAGTAGCAAAGTATTGTGCAGTCTTTGAAAATGTACCAGGAAGTAAATTAATTTAGAGAGAACATTTTCTGAGACTGTATGCTAAACTACATGCTGGGGCAAAGGTGGGGGTTGGGAGAACTAATGAAAATACCCAGTTTTGTGACTGGAAATTAGAAATTTTTATCTGTAAGTCTTCAGATAATTATTTCATTTGTAAATGGTGAGTTTTATTATTCATAGAAAACATGTTTTGAATTAGCATGTTTCTTCCCAGCCTGAATTATTCTGTCTTTTCTGTTTCTGAAAGTATATTTTACATGTTAAAAGTTTTTTCAGGCTCTTACCAAAAAATTGTCATGGAGTTAACATTGTGTTTCATCCCTAAAGCCTGCTAACCTTTCTTTTCTAGTGTAAAGAGAATGGTGCTTTCACTGTGCTTGTTGACAACTATGTGAGGGAAGAGGAAGGCACAGGCGTTGTACACCAAGCCCCTTATTTTGGTGCTGTAAGTAGCATAAATCTTGCAGATGTATTTGAGAAGTAAATGTCAGCTGCCACTTTTCATGGGATGCTGAGTTGTGTGTCTCATCATGTTGTTTGCTCTCATTTGGACTATCGAGTCAGCCTCTTTTCTGCCTCACTGCCCCCTAGATGGCTTATAAAATTTGCACCTGCAATTGCCTTTCATCCTGAGCTGATTTCTGGAAATGATGGATCAAATCCAGGGCCACTCCTACGCATTTAATCTTTCTAAAAGGCCAAGGTGCCTGCTGTGTCTTCATTCATTCATTCATTCATGATTCACATACAGTAAACTTCTTTTTGGTGTGCATGTCTGTGAGTTTTGACAAGCACTTAGAGACATGCTGGCACCTCAGCCATCAAAATACAGTCTCTTCCCATCACCTCTGCTGTGTTCTTGACTAAGCACCACACAAGCAGAAGGGAGAATCTGACCTCTCCCCTCCAAACTGTAGTTTATGGTTAATTCTATATTTTTGCCAAGAATAATTTTTCTAAAAATACATTCATTTTAATGTTATCTATATGATTAAGAACAGAATAACATAGGGATTAAAGGTGTGTGCTTTAGAGTAAACCAGCTCTTGCCTTAAATCTTGGTCCTGCCACTAGCAAGCAATTCCTGTGCAAGTTGCTTAGCCTTTCTGGACTTCCTTTTCCTCCTCTGTAGCATGGTGTGGGAGTATCTCCCTGTCAGGGTAATTGTGAGGGTTAAATAAAATCATGTACATGGAGTATTTAGCACAGTGGCTGACAGTGATAGTCCCTTAAGATCATTGCTGCTAGGGTTGTGCCTACGGGTCACCTACAACCTCCTCTGATCTTGATAGTTTTGTGACTTTCTTCTAAGAGGTGGTGAAGCTAGTCTGTCTCCGTTTGTGATTTTGCTTTTATGCTTAATCTCTGGGATTTTTATTATGGACATCTTCAAACATACCCTAAAGAAAATGGTAAAACAAATTCTTATGTGTACGTCATCCAGCTGCATTCATTGTGGACATTTTGGCAATCCTGTTTTATTTCTCTATTTTTCTCATTCCTTTCCCACACCTTTTTTATTTTGGATGGAAGATTTTAAAGCAAATCTTGAACATTATGTCTTTCATCTCTAAGTAATTCCAGCTACATCACTGACTGATAATGAATTTTATTTTCTGTATAGTCGCCATGCCATTATTAATATTTATACCCAATAAAAGCAATAGTTCCTTAATATCACCTAATACGTGATCCATATTCAATTTTGATGGAAGCTTTTTTTTTTTTTTTTTTTCGCTTTGTTGCTCAGGCTAGAGTGAGTGCCATGGCGTCAGCCTAGCTCACAGCAACCTCAAACTCCTGGGCTCACGCCATCCTCCTGCCTCAGCCTCCCTAGTAGCTGGGACTACAGGCATGCGCCACCATGCCCGGCTGATTTTTTGTGTATATATTAGTTGGCCAATTAATTTCTTTCTATTTATAGTAGAGACGGGGTCTCACTCTTCCTCAGGCTGGTTTTCAAACTCCTGACTTCGAGCAATCCGCCCGCCTCAGCCTCCCGGAGTGCTAGGATTACAGGCGTGAGCCACCACGCCCAGCCTGGAAGCATTCTTGATAAAACTACTTTTTAAGTTTTAGGAACTAGTCAAATATCAAAACTAGTTGTTCATAACAATTTTATGGTCAGCTGATATGGTTACTCTACTGATAGTAAATAATGAAAAGATAACTTTGGTTTTGAGTTATAGTTTAGATTTTCCTTTAAGTGTGGGTATTTGTCATTAATTCTATTTATACTTCATATATCTGTTCTGAATGCTGTGCAGATCAATGTTATTGAAGATCAGTTCTTTAAAGTATAGCCTTTAACCCCATTTTCAGAGAGGACTCTATTCTTGTCATACCCAGGTGATGTGGCATGTCATCTGATCAGAATCTGTGCAGTGGTGTGTGTCATCATGTTGAACATCAGTTGTTCTGGCTCCATTCAGGAAAGCTCTTAGCTTATGCAGTTGATAGCACTGTTTGCTTCACATTCAGCAGTTCAAGTTGCTGTGTTTGGGGGCTTTTCCTGTCTTTCCACGTCATACTACACAAAGCAGCCTCAGCACAGCAAGAGGTGAACACGGGTCCAGGTGGAAGCATGTCAGCTTTCCAATTTGTTTTGGAGTCAACACAAAGTGTGGTTTCATTACCTTAAGACAGTCTCTTTAATTTTATGTTTAGGCAACATAGCGAATCCTAGCATTACCACTTCACAGCTGGATTAGTTCTTTGTGCCTCAGTTTTTTCCTCTGTAAAATTAGGATGATTGCTAGTTTGTGTGAGGGGTGAAAACCTATACACCTGTCTGCTTTGCTTGCATATGACTGTTAAGCGATTTAAATGAGCTTGTGTAAAGTGCGCAGAGCACTGTCTGACAGAGAGCTTGTAAGTGTTTTTTCTAATTTTTAACCCTCTTCAAAATATATTCCCGAAGCATCTTGGTTGTAACCGAGATAAACTATGCCACCTGAAGCCCATCTTACTTATTAGAAAAGTGAATGCTTTGGATTTAGATCAGTGTTGCCATCCTTTGGGGTATTCCCTTTATAGGATGCAAATCCATGTGTGTGTCAAGCTTCATACAATACTAACTAGGTCGTGTCTTAAATGTTTGTGTGCTTTGGTTTTTCAAATGTGCTTCTATGCTGTTATAAATCAAATTTGATTTAATGCTGTTATAAATCAAATTCAAATGTCAAATTTGAATTTGACATTCATGTATGTCATCTATCTTCTTATTTAGTGGATACTGTGCTATATGTCGGGGTCTTGACATCATGTTTGGGAAGGCTGATATGATTTATGTCCATCTGTGAGGTTCTCATTCTGTGAATGGTCCTTGAATCATCTTTAATTAAGTAGATAAAGTTAATTGCATGTATATGTCAATATTGAAAAATTCTCAAATATACCAGCTCATGCTTTCCTCCTTCCCACAGCTATACTTAGATTGTTTTATTCTGTTCTTCTACCCTCCCCATTTGCCTTTTCCCAGGATGACTATCGGGTCTGTATGGACTTCAACATTATCCAGAAAGACTCACTTCCTGTTTGCCCTGTGGATGCTTCAGGCTGCTTCACAGCAGAAGTGACACATTTTGCAGGGCAGTATGTGAAGGTTTGTAACCCATATGATGCGGAAGGGTGTCGGTCTCATTGTACTTCTTTCATCAATCAGTTTTTCTTTTTATTCCAGTAAGGAAATTCATGCAACTTCTAGTTAATCTCCATCATTTATAATTATAGTGTAATTTTTCTAGAAGTTGTTTTTTATTTTGTTTCGGCATATAAAGTCAGCAAAGATAGATATTATCAGCTACATTCAGAGGATCTAGTATATGGAGGAAGCATACTGTAGTTTCAGAGGTAGGAATCAGAAAACTGAGCTCCAATTTATGCCTCATTAAACATCTGCGTGACCTTAGGGTAATCATTTCTTTTTTTTTTTGAAACAAAGTCTCGTTTTGTTGCCCATAGTGTCAGCCTAGCTCACAGCAACCTCAAACTCCTGGGCTCAAGCAATCCTGCTGCCTCAGCCTCCCGAGTAGCTGGGACTACAGGCATGTGCCACCATGCCTGGCTAATTTTTTCTATATATGTTAGTTAGCCAATTAATTTCTTTCTATTTATAGTAGAGAGGGGTCTCGCTCTTGCTCAGGTTGGTTTCAAATAGGGTAATCATTTCTTATTAAAGCTTCACTGCCTTAAATGTTATGGATAAGTATTATAGCATGTAATAATTAGCTAAATTTTAATTTTTTACCAGGATGCTGACAAAAATATCATCCGGACCTTAAAGGAACAAGGGCGACTTCTTGTTGCCAGCACTTTCACTCACAGCTACCCTTTCTGCTGGAGGTAAGAAGAAACAAAGACTATTGTGGTAGAGCTTCCATTTTATGGATATATTTACTGTGTGTGCCCATTCCATTATATTTGTAGCGTTCATCTCATTTGTATCCTTCATAGTTAATGCTTGGAAATTGCCTCATTTCATTTTTTAGGAAAGTTTTATGAATGTGTAATGTCTCTTTCCTAAGGAGTTGGGTGAGCAAAATCGACATGCACAAATTTGTACCTATTTTTTTTTTTTTAGGATGAAAAACACCTCTAAAATCTTGTAATAGAATTTATTGAGAAATTTAATGTGATATCAAGTTTTAATACAAGATCATCCTGTAAAGATGTGGGTGAAAATGGAATGTTCCATGGCATCATATCCAGTTTCCCCATTTTCTCTTCTGTGTAGAAGTTGGCATCATCTCTTAGACAGTTATAACCAGCAGGACTGTGTTTTTCTTTCTAGTCTTGTTCTTTTATTAGCTTTAGCCTTTCTTGGTACTGTGGAGGGAGATGACTGATTTTGAAGATTCAGACTTTTGTATCTATAATAAAAATGGATATTAGCAGAAGGCCAAGTAGGTGGTGGTGCTGTCAATAAGAGACTGTAAGTCAGTCTTACTCTAGTTGCATGTCTCAGCCTGACAGAGACATCTGTGTTTCTGCTTCGTTAGGTCAGACACTCCCCTCATTTACAAAGCAGTACCCAGCTGGTTCGTGCGAGTGGAGCACATGGTGGACAAGCTGCTGAAGAACAATGACCTGTGCTACTGGTGAGCAGTAAGATGTGTCTCTTAATGTCTTTTGTCATGTAGTTAGTAAGTATGGTTTACATTTTCCCAAATAATAATTTTAATAGCCATGTTTTATTGTATATTATAACAGCTGTCTTTTATTTTTTGTGTTTAAGAACACAAAATAATTTAAATAATAATACATAATAGGCTAGGCTCTGAGGCTCAGGCCTGTCATCTCAGCTCTTTAGGAGGCCAGTGCAGGAGGATCACCTGAAGCCAGGAGTTTGAGACCAACCTAGGTAACATGTAACATAGCGAGACCGTATATCTACAAAAAATTTTAAAAATTAGCCAAATGTGGTGGTGCGTACCTGTAGTCCCAACTACTAGGGAGGTTGAGGCAGGAAGATCATTTGAGCCCAGGAGTTGGGAGTTGCAGTGAGCTCTGATGACACCACTGCACTCTAGCCTGGGCAACAGAGTGAGACACTGTCTCAATAAATACACAGATAGATAGATGATTGATTGATTGATAGATAGGTAGATGGATGGATGGCCCGGGCAACAGAGTGAGACTCTGTCTCATTAGATAGATAGATAGGTGGATCGATGGACGGACAGCCCAGGCAACAGAGTGAGACTCTTGTCTCAGATAGATAGATAGACAGACTGACTGACTGACTTCTGGGCACAAAATGAAACAAGGCTTGAATCTATATATTTCAGGAGAATGTTTTTGCACTGAGAGTTTTAGGGGGTCATCACCCCTCTTACTTCCCACAAGGGCCCAACTAAACTAAAAAACTGCACTTGGGTTTGGGAGAATGGGGAGAATGTCAGGGCAATAAAGAAAATGGTTGTAAATTATGGCTCTCTAATATTTCCTAGCAGAGTGACCTGATTTCTCAAAAGACAGTTTTTCCATTTTTATACCTAATAAGCTCATTAGTTCCCCTAATGAGCTTAATGAATAAGATACTAGGTATAGAATATTAGTAATACAGCCTTCAGGGTATGCAGACATGTAAACTGATACTTGTAATACAGGATGGTAACTGGAGTGCACGAGAGAAGAAGAGGATGTTTGGAAGCCTGGGGATGCCCAGACTCATCCTTGTGCTTAGAAAGGATTTCTGCAAAGCTGAACATCTCAAGGCATAAGGAACAGAAAAGGACACAGAAGGGAGGAGGGTTACACGGCAGAAGGAGGCACAGGCATAGGCAGTTAGGTGAGAATTCTAGAGAACTTGCCTCATTGCTGAAGCCTAAAGTGCAAGGCTAGGGAGACTAAAGAGAAGACTGGAGAGAGAGCTGCAGAGTAGCTACCAATCACCTGGCCTGATAGGGGCCTATGCTAATGAGTTTCAGTGAAACTGCTGTCATGTGGATGTCTTGAAGATCAGAATTGAGTGGGATGCGGCTAGCTAGAGCTGGTCACTAGGTAGAGGTCTGTGATGGTACTCCAGTTGGAGAGGAGGACATAGGAAGCCTATATATTGTGGGGTTTTCTATTACATATAGGTCATTAATGGTAGCTCAGACTGGCTTGTGCTGGTGCTATTTAGGACACCTTCTCCCAGCAGTGAACCGAATGTTTCCAGAGTGTTTGATCCCTAAAGCATTATAGAAGGGTATATATGGATATAATTTACCATTTTGACTCACTAATATTCTTAAATGACTGATTGTGTGATCTGTTTATTGCAGGGTCCCAGAGTTTGTACGAGAAAAGCGGTTTGGAAATTGGCTTAAAGATGCACGTGACTGGGCAATTTCTAGAAACAGATACTGGGGCACACCTATCCCACTGTGGGTCAGTGATGACTTTGAGGAGGTGAGGCAGGGCAGTATTTCCTTGTGTTGATTTTTGCTAAAGCACTGTTCATGCCATAAGAATATGGTTTATTTTTTTCTTTCCCTCTTTCTAATCGTGTCTATTTTTTTCTCATTATTCCTTTGTAGAATCATGACATAAAATAGGAATCTGTTGTTTGGGGTTTTTATTTCTTTTTACTTTAATTAAATACAATTTAAAATTTTTCCCTTTGGGCTGGGTGTGGTGGCTCACGCCTATAATCCTAACACTCTGGGAGGCCGAGGTGGGCGGATTGCTCGAGGCCAGGAGTTCGAAACCAGCCTGATCAAGAGCAAGACCCCGTCTGTACTAAAAATACAAAGAAATTAAATGGCCAACGAACATATATATAGAAAAAATTAACAGGGCATGGTGGCACATGACTGTAGTCCCAGCTACTTGGGAGGCTGAGGCAGCAGGATCACTTGAGCCCAGGAGTTGGAGGCTGCTGTGAGCTAGGCTGACGCCACAGCACTCACTCTAGCCTGGGCAACAAAGTGAGACTCTGTCTCAAAAAAAAAAAATTTTCCCTTCGTGTAAAAGTGAAGAATACAGTTGGTATTTTTTTCAGGTAAATACACATGTTAAATTTTTTTTCTTGTGTTGCTCTGATCTCTTATTCCCCCTGAATTAAGTTATAGCATTAATTTAAGATTAAACTGCCCTTGTAGATAATAAAAATGAAGACTTAAAAAAACTTTTACCAAAGCACTGCAGACCTTTACCTTCTAAAATCAAGTGAGTGATAGTGTGTGTTGATATACAGATGTATAGGTATATAGTACGCCCTCTCTTAATGTCAAGAAGTTGGTTCTTAGAAAGTGCAACTTTATTAATCAGACTTGGCTTCTCTCTCGCCTGAGAGAGAGAGAGAGAGAAAGTGAAACTTTAAGCAAAACAATGTGTAATGAAACATTATTTGAGGACCTACTGTACATCAGTTTGCTTAAAGTCACATCATCCAGGAACCTCTTGACAATGTGAATTGCTATACAGATATATCTTCATGATGGGCCTTCTGTCTAATACTGACATCAGTGTAGCAATGAAGAGCAGCAGCACCCTGGGAACTTTGGTGACTCTTCTGTAAGGACCTGAAAGGTAAACAGTGAAGTAGCTACATCAGAAGGTGTTTTAGGACTGAACAGGAAGGGCAAAGAAAGAGGCTATAGGTGTTCACTAAGTAGCACAAGCCCCTGAGTGGGAACCCATAGCAGCTACTGCTGGTGTAGCTCTTATCAGATGATCCCACCATTCTGAGTGACCCTGTAATTTTTTTTTTTTTTTTTTAGACAAGTCTCACTTTGTTGCCCAGGCTAGAGTGAGTGCCGTGGCGTCAGCCTAGCTCACAGCAACCTCAAACTCCTGGGCTCAAGCAATCCTGCTGCCTCAGCCTCCCGAGTAGCTGGGACTACAGGCATGTGCCACCATGCCTGGCTAATTTTTTCTATATATATTAGTTGGCCAATTAATTTCTTTTCTATTTATAGTAGAGACGGGGTCTCCTCTTCCTCAGGCTGGTTTGGAACTCCTGACCTTGAGTAATCCGCCCACCTCGGCCTCCCAGAGTGCCAGGATTACAGGCGTGAGCCACCGCGCCCAGCTGACCCTGTAATTTTAACATCTTGTGGTTTAGTCTGATTATTTTGATCTGGTCCAAGCATGATAAGGTGATGTGCCACATAATCTTTTAGTCAGTGACAGGCTGCTTATACAACAGTGGCCCATAAGATTAAAATACCTTATTTTTCCTGTCCATTTTTTATGTTTAAAGACAAATATTTATTATTATGTTACAGCTGCCTGTAGTATTCAGTACAGTAACATGTTGTACAGGTTTGTAGCCTTGGAGCAGTAGGCAATATCATGTAGCCTAGGTGTGTAGTAGGCTTTCCCATCAAGGGAAACCTCCCATCTAGGTTTGTGTAAGTACACTCTGATTTGCATGCCAGAATCGCCTAACAAGTAATTTCTCAGAAGTATCTCAGTCATTAAATGACACACATAACTATGATTCAGTTCTAGTTTCGTCTTGGGAAGATTCTAGATTAAAGACCCAGATTTAGTTGTCAGGAAGAAACTATGATACCATAGAGCAGTAATCTAAGGCTTTTCGCGTATGTGTGTTATTTTGGCAGAGATTTGCATGTAGTGGACCCTCCAGAAACATCTGTTGATATGGTGGCTATAACTGTTCACATGTCTCCATGTAGGGATTCCCCTTAATATCAGGGTGGGTAACAAGGTAACAATCACTGTCAGTACTTGCCTTTTCAGAGATTGACCTGTGTCTTTCATGAGAGGTAAGCCACATTGGTGGTAATTGTCCTTCAACCCAGATTGGTGTGTACTGAGCTTTTAAAGAAAAATCAGAGGTTTCTAAAACTAAACATGAGTGCTGCATAAATTAACTCAGTGTGATCTCTTTGCCTCTAAGGCACTTCTGTTGTTTAACTTTGTTTTTAACAGGTAGTATGCATTGGGTCAGTGGCAGAACTTGAAGAACTGTCAGGAGCAAAGATAGCAGATCTCCACAGAGAAAGGTCAGTTTCTGAATGTTTAATTCACTTGAGTACTTTTATCCTCCTGTTAAGACGTGGTTTGTGCAGCAGATTACACAGCTACATGTAGAAATCACTAGTTTGCTGAATTACTTTGTTGATGGCTCATGTCATATTGAGGTAATGTGGCCGCTGTCCTTGAATGAAGTGTCAAGTGGCTTTGGTACATAAACCTTTGAGATCGAGTGCTCATGCTGCTCTCTGAAAGCCTTTGAGAACTGTTGATATTTCTGTTTGCAAATGTATATAATATCTTATGAAGGCTTTGTGATTCCTATTGATAGTTAAACTGCAAGCTCTTTGGTGCTTATGATTAATAGAAATGGCTACTTTTCTGTTTGTTAGCATTGACCACCTGACCATTCCTTCACGCTGTGGGAAGGGATCGTTGCGCCGTGTCTCTGAAGTATTCGACTGTTGGTTCGAGAGTGGCAGCATGCCTTATGCTCAAGTTCATTATCCATTTGAAAACAAGAAGGAGTTTGAGGATGCTTTTCCTGCAGACTTCATTGCCGAAGGGATTGACCAAACCAGAGGATGGTATGCCCCTGCATTCAAGTGTTTTATTGATTTCATTTTATATAATGAGTATTTGACTTAGTGCCGATCATTTATCTGCTGGGTGTTGGGGAGACTGTGGCAAATAATACAGACTCCTTTCCTGCCCTCTGCCCCTTACCACCAAGCATGGCTATTAAAGTGCCTTTTGTGTAGGCACCTCTTACTACAGTAGGGCTGTAGTCTTATAATTTGAAGTATTTCACTGATATTTTAGAGTATATCTATATGTTATATTGGAAATTTTAAGTGGCATGAAACAATACGTGTTCTTAGTAAATAATTTTAAGTAGACAAGCTCAAATGTTTAATGAGTATTTATTTACATACATGGTAATACATTGGGTCCTGGAAATTTGGGAAATAGTTAGAAATGTGCTCAGATGTTGAAGCTAGCCGTATAAGTTAATATTCTAAAAATATCTAGATTTTTAAAAACATGAATATATGTGGGGGGAGGATTTTGACATTGGTTTTATCTGGTGCCTTATTAAAAGAAGTATGCTTATTCTCTTAATTGAAAAAAGGTGAGGCCGGGCGCGGTGGCTCACTCCTATAATCCTAGCACTCTGGGAGGCCGAGGCGGGCGGATTGCTCGAGCTCAGGAGTTCAAAACCAGCCTGAGCAAGAGCGAGACCCCGTCTCTACTATAAATAGAAAGAAATTAATTGGCTAACTAATATATATAGAAAAAATGAGCCGGGCATGGTGGCGCATGCCTATAGTCCCAGTTACTCGGCAGGCTGAGGCAGCAGAATTGCTTGAGCCCAGGAGTTTGAGGTTGCTGTGAGCTAGGCTGATGCCATGGCACTCACTCTAGCCTGGGCAACAAAGTGAGATGCTGTCTCAAAAAAAAAAAAAAGGTGAGTTACCTTTTTCCCATGGATAGGTTTTGCTAGCTGTGTTTTAATTGTACATTCATTAGTAATGTTTCTGCAAGAGTGTGTTTAAGGAATTTCTGTCATTTTGTGGTTTTACAGCTTGTTTTAGTCCTTGAATCTAAGCCTTAATGATCTAGAATGTGCCAGATTTCAACCCATTTATCTATAGGAATAGCTACGAGGAATAACAAATTCCTGTGTTTAGGGAGGGCCAGATGATTTACCAGTATCGCTTGTTCCCCTGAGAAGTGGTGGCGTCTGGCAGCTGTTAACAGTTCTCACATAGGTCCCTTGTCTTCGCTACTCTCCTCTCCTTCCGTTAGGCCTGGGCTGCCCTCCTGGGCACCCGGAGTCTGTCCTCCCAGTTCTCCTTTGGAATTGGAAGAGATGTCTGGACAGGCATGGGGTCTGATCTCCTCACTTCATGTTTCTTGATCTTGGAGTATAGGATCAGGTCACAGAGGTAGAGGAGCATGACCCTAGGATAGCAGTAGGGTTGTGGTAGAGTTCTTTTAGGGAACAAGGTAGCTGGCACATAAATAAGATACATGGCTGACAGAATAAAAGCATTTTCTGTGTTCTTATTATCTACCTTTTGAGTTTTGGATGAGTGCTTTTGCATCTTTTGTCATCAGATTGTCCCATATGTTCTTGTGCTAAATGTGACATGTCCCTCATTTGTAGCCAGGTGATTCTGGGTGGTCCTGAGAGGCCATCCAGCACTGTCTTGTGGCTCTCCTCACTTTATCCCCAGAGGAAGGCAGTGGTCCTCAACTGCTGGGGGTCCTAATAGCAGAGGGAGGGTTAGTACATCACTCCAGGCGTTTGTTTGCTTTAAAAAAATCAAATTTCGTTTTTTCATATCAGAGGCTCTAATTTGGTCTGTGGTGGGTGTTGTGCGTCAGTTATTTTTCAACACTCCCCAAATGATTCTTGTATTTTAACCAGGATTAAGAACCATTGCTTTAAGTTATTATCAAGAAGTACAGCTTATCAGAAATAGCAGTTCAGGCCAGTGAGTAAATATAATTTTTTGCTATACTTGGACTTTTCCTATTTTTATTGAACTGGGGTTTTTTATTTCAGGTTTTATACCCTGCTGGTGCTAGCCACAGCTCTCTTTGGACAACCACCTTTCAAGAACGTGATTGTGAATGGGCTCGTCCTGGCAAGGCAAGTACACTTCTTTGTGTAGTGACTACTTCCAATTCTGATACTCTTTGTTCTTACTCCTTGAACGGTTGCTTTTCAAAGCAGCCATGTTCTGGTTGGACCTAGCCATGTTTTCTTTCTGAATAGAGGAATTTAGGAACACTAAATCTCAACTCTAATCATACTCTTTTTCTCCCCTCTAGTCTTAAACTACTTACTGTTCTTCCTTTTCATTGAAACTCCTGTCCAGGCCACATCTCCATCCTAGGCTTTTGTATCTCCAAATATCTCTACTGTTTCTCAAGGAGGAGTGAAAAGAGATAAGGCAGATGGAGGAAGAGAAAGGGGAGGACTTTTAGACAAGGTTACTACTAGTAACATAATGCTACTAGTCATATTACTAGTAATAAAATAACATTTATTAAGCATTTCATGAAGTACTTTTTTTTTCAGACAGAGTCTCGCTCTGTTGCCCTGGCTATAGTGCCATGGCATCAGCCTAACTCATAGCAACCTCAAATTCCAGGCTTAAGCAATCCTTCTGCCTCAGCCTCCTGAGTAGCTGGTACTACAGGAATGCACCACCATGCCCGGCTAATTTTTTCTATATATTTTTTTAGTTGTCTAGATAATTTCTTTCTATTTTTAGTAGAGGCGGGGTCTCACTCTTGCTCAGGCTGGTCTCAAACTCCTGACCTTGAGCAATCTTCCCACCTCGGCCTCCCTAGCACGCCTGCTAGGATTATAGGCATGAGCCACTACGCCTGGCTGAAGTACTTTTCTTATAGATCTTATTTAATCTGTGCATCAGTCCTTTAATGTAGATTTTTATTGTCCTCTTCTTAACACATGAGGAAGCTATTAGTTAAGAGACCATAAGTGCCCAGGATCAGGGCTAATGAGAGCCATGTCAGGCTCAGCCCAGGTACTCCGTCATCAGATACCATTCTTCTCCTCACCTAAAACTCTTCCTCACACTGAGTATTATTTCCCACTTTTACTCCTTCCCATTACATTTATGTATTCCTATTTGCAAATAATTTATATCCATATATAAAAATCATCTGTGATGTTGATGTACATAATTGATATCTTTCTTTTGTTTCACAAGTGATGGTCAGAAAATGAGCAAACGAAAAAAGAATTATCCAGATCCAGTTTCAATCATCCATCAGTATGGTGCTGATTCCCTCAGGTACAAACCAGTGTTTGCCTTGCATGTATTTTTGGTTTTTTATGTAAGCATATTCCATCTTAATAATGACAGTTCTTAGATTTGGTTTATAGTGAGGCTTTTAAAAATGTATATCTGTTATGCGGAGTGTTAATTGGTATGGTTATTGATTTTAAACCTCCAAAATAGTTTTCTGAATAATAAAGACACTTTAAACCTAGAGGTCTTTGTGAGAAAGAGGACCTGTGTTGGGTTTAATTTTGTACTTAGAGCCATATGAGATATGTTTATGCTGGAGCAAATGAAAAATTAATGCTGAAAAGCTTTTAGAGAAATTTGAGCCTTTGCTTGATATAGTCACAATTGTGAAATCACAGTTTTCAAGTTGAGAGGGACCCGGAGATTTTGTTCAGCATACCCATGTCGCAGACATGAGACCCACCCCCAGGCCCATGACTGAGCACCTTCACACAGTACCTGTGTTGCCAAGGAGCAGTTATCAGGGCTGTCCCTCCGCTCTCTGTTATGTTTGGCTCACCCTCAGCACTGTTGACCATTTGGACTGGGTAATACTTTGTGGTAAGAGTTGTCTCACTACCACATATACAGTTTATCAGGATTCCTGGCCTTTGCCCACCAGTCTCTGTGAAGGTTGGTCCTCGTGACTCCCTGTGTCTGCACACAGTGGGGATGTGAGTGGTGTCCATGGGAAGGAGAAATCTGCTCTTGATGCGGACCAGGCCGCCTTTCCTCTTAGTGAGACTTGGCCCTACAGTGAGACTGGCATTTCTATACTGGTACAATGCCATATTTTGGTATGAGGTTACATATATGGCTTCATAATTTACTGGGTCTCACATAAAGTAAGAGCTTTGTGAGTTTTAAATTGACCTTTGAAGAGTATTCATAACTTCCTCCTTTTTTAGAAAAAAGTGCTGATTTTTATCTTGCCCTCTCAGTATGTTAAGTAGTAAGTAATATTTGGTTTACTATATATCTTTTCTGTGTAATTTTTCACCCTCTTCCAGATTATACCTGATTAACTCCCCTGTAGTGAGAGCAGAAAACCTCCGCTTTAAGGAGGAGGGTGTACGGGACGTCCTTAAAGATGTGTTGCTCCCATGGTACAATGCATATCGCTTCTTCATCCAGAATGTCCTGAGGCTCCAGAAGGTATGGACCCCAATGAGCTGCATGTATGCCGGCGGCATCTGCATGCTCCTTAGGTTTTGGGTTGGACTTTTTTGCAGGGCCTTCGGGTTTTTTTTCTTTCTTTTCCATTGTTGGGGGGGGCTGTACATGAAGGTGTAGTAGGTGTCTGGAGTCTGGGCTGTGCCAGGAGTATGGGACCCAGAGCTGGACCATCTGAGCAGGACTCACCTCTGCAGGACACAGGGCCTTATCTGTGAAAGAGTTATGTCATGTGGTCACTTAGTCAACCAGTTCTTGGTGCCAGGGACTCCATGTTCAGTGAGACGCCCTCCCCTAATGGAACCAGTGGGGTGGAGAACTGAGGGAGACAGTGAAGAGTCAGCTACTGTCAGAGAGTGAGCACCTGGGAAAGAGCGGAGTCACTTGAGATGGGTGGTCAGGGAAGGCCCCTTTATGGGGTGGCATTTGGGCTGAGACTTTGAGAGTGACAGCAGTTCTTGGTGGAGTTCTCAGTGGATTGATAGGATTACAAATAATGGTGGTGATGTATATGAAAGTGATATATATGAAAGGGCAGTTACCTGTTTGCCCAAGAGGCCCATCCCGAGAAGCCCTTGCTCTGGGGCCAACTCCTTAGCCCCTCAACTCTGTCAGTGTCCATCACCTTCATTGAACATGTTCCTATTTGTGCTTTTAAGACCCAGCACTCATCTTCCTATCTCCAGCCGTTTATAAGCAGAATTACAAGTATATTACTATTGAGTGAACGTGTGACATTATTACTGCTTGAGCAGTCCTGAAGCTGGCTGTAGAGCAGCTCTGGTCATTCTGCTCCAACAGGCAGATCACTCTGTTCTGCTGTTTCTGGCCTTGACTTGTTCTGCTAACAAGGACAAGGACACAGTGTATTCACCTGAGACTCCCAGGGTGGATTTTTCCCTGGGGATTGAGAAAGGTAGGCATCTTCCCCAGCCTCCCGGTATTATTCATCTCTTTGTAGTCCTTGCACCTCTCCTGTATGTGGTTCTAAGCCAAGTAGGGCCAACAATCCTTAAGCAGGTGTGCTCTGAGAGCCTCCACTGGCGTGGGACACAGGAATACAGACTAAGTCAAACTTGCCCGCAACTAGGGTCTGTCTGGACATAGCAGCAAGACGCAGATGCCACTATCAGGTGCTTAAACCTAGGGAGAGAGTCACCTTACTGCCACCCCTAAGCCTGGTGGTGGTGTTGCCTGAGAACCAAAGTAGGCTGTGAGTTGTGTTTGTAGAGTGGGGACAGGTGCAATGGGCCTTTAGGCTCAAGGAGGATTTTGCAAAGCAAAAATAAGATAGGATAGAACATTCTAGGTAAAATGAACCACCTTAGCATAGAAATTAATTCCCAATATTCGTTTTCAATTTGTGAACAATCATTCCGTCCTAGACAATTTCACTATCCTTCCTACTTTAGGTTTAAAGTAAGTAAACCCTATGCTTATTGACAAAATTTTAGAATATTTCTCAATTCATAATATCTCTCTTTGATGCAGAGAAGTAATTTTTTCCTGAATTCTCTTCATTTCACTCAAAAACATAATTAATTAATGACTTAATGCCCCAAGTTAGTGCTTATTTGAAAATATTGCTGAGAATCAGAAATTTAGATTGGCACTGGTGCCTGGGGTTTTTTGTTTGTTCAGTTTTGGTTTTTGCTACTTCTTTCAATTTAAGTGATTAAAAGAATGTTTCTCCCATAGTAATTGTTCACCCAACCATGTGAAATTTCATTTAATTGCCCATTCCTAGGAGGAAGAAATAGAATTCCTTTATAATGAAAACACCGTTAGAGAAAGCCCCAACATTACAGACCGGTGGATCCTGTCCTTTATGCAGTCACTGGTTGGATTCTTTGAGACTGAAATGGCAGGTGAGTCTCTTTTGGGTTGTCTTTCCAGAAATAAGGACTTTTTATTCTTTTTGTAATTGCCCTTTTGATATTTAACTGTATAAACATATTTAACTATATTTAAATTTAACTATAGTTTAAACATATTAACTTAGCATATTAACATTTAACTATAGTTAAACATATTTAACTATAGTTAAATTTAACATATTTAACTATATAAACATAGAGGAAATTTCGAGAGGTGCAGAGCAGTAGATAAAAATTGTTTAATCTCTCAAATACAGTTTTGTGAAGGCTTATGAGTTGTAGAAATGTGTTTGTTTATCTCTGGAGTGTGTCCAGGCAGCCTCACCCCTCCATAGAAGAGTGTAGGCTGTGGAGCTGGATAGCTGCGGGTTCAAAACTGAACTCTTGTTGCTGATCTGGAAGGTTGCCTAAAGTCCATGACCCTTAATTTCTTCATCTGCAAAATGCCTGGCATAGTTACTATAAGGCTTCAGTAGAGATGATTTATGAAAAAATAATTGACAGATAATAGGTACTCAATAAGTAGTACTTATTGCTAATCCCGTTTTAATTTATTTTAGGCCTATTTTCATTATTAAATAAATAATCTCTTTGTTTTCCAGAAAAATTAGAAAATTGAGAAAAGCAATAATGAAATAGACGTTTTGTTGTATTTCTATTACCTAACAATGAGTTTGGTTATAGACAGAGATTGGGAAAGTACATTATGTTGCCTTCCTTGAGGTTTGAGATAGTCACAACCATATTTCTCATAGTCCAGGCAAGAAATTTAGAAGCTCTTATCTAACACACCTCAGACAAGTTTAGTAAAGTAGGCAGGCAGAGACGCCAGGTCATAGTGAGGCCAAAAGGGGGCAGAGTTAACCTGCTTTTTCTTCACCCTGCAGTGCCTGGTGCTATTGGGCAGGTGTGGTGGCCAGAGTAGACCTGGGATTCAGCATTAGCCTGGTCACCGGCTCATTGTTCTCCCTGGAGTAGGTAGTGCTGCCACTCTTGACACAAAAGGACTGTTAATCAGTTACCCTGAAGGACTTATCCACCTCCTTAAATACATATAAGGATGATGATAGTCAAACTATTGGTCAAATTGACACAAATGAAGATGGAAATGAATGTGTGAGGCTGACTTCTGGCCCAGGAAGGGCAGCACTGGAAGCCACTGCACTCTCCCCAGAGACTTTCACAGCTTTGTCCACTTCCCTCCTGAGTGTTGCGGGTGGGTGGGAAAGGTGGGGTTGCTCAAGGCCCCTGCCATCTTTAGGCACCAGCTACTGTGACCTCCTTTGAAGGCATGTTTGGAGAGCATGCATCCTGGTCTGCCTGGGAACTGGAGATCAGCAGCCACGTGATGTGGGTTGTGTGCAAGAGGTCAGGCAAACCCACAGTGCTCCAGACCCAGACTGCTTTGCTAGCCTGTTTCCTTCATGCCCTCAGCTGTCTTGTCAGCAATGTGGACGTGAGAATACCTACCTCACAGAGTTGTGGTGGCTTCAGCAGTAGCCTCCATATATTGTGTATTCATTGTATACGGGGTTCATTTACTCTCTGAGAGTTGAAACTAGAACATAGGAAACTCGAGCATTCTAGAAGGTATAATAAAAATTATAGTGAACCCTAGAAATAATTTAGACAGGCCTCTCTTTGCAGAATAGGCCTCAGTCACTGAAATCACCTGTCTAGGAATGTGCGACTAGCTAATGACTGTGGCCTAGGACTTGGCCCACCTCAGTTCTCATCTTTGTGAATAGCAGCAGAGAGCAGCTGTGCCTGTTGCAATTTCTCACCTTGTTAGCTTAGACCAGGAGCCTCATTAACATTCTCTGAACTCCTTTCACTAATATAAATTATGTTTGCTTATAATTTTTGGTCTTAATTATTTTTGTTTTTGGTGTGTGTTTATGTGCAACAGAGAGTGTCAGTTAAAGGGGAGGTGAATGAGAATCCTTGAAATAAGCCTTGCCTCAAATAAGATTGGCTAAACACCCTTACTTTCCTGCTCACCCTCTGAGTTACTCAGGAGACCCTTCAAATCATTCTGATTCCTCAAGACTTTTTTCTTTTCCCACTACCTTCTGTAGCTTTCTTTCCTTGACTATTTTAACCCTTAGAAAGAAAAACCCTGTTCTATTTTATACATACCTTATACCAGAATTTCTCAATAGCAGTGCCACTGACGTTTGGATGGATCATTGTTCACTGGGGGGCGCTGTGCCGTGTCTTATAAGATGTTAAGCACCATCCTTGGGATCCACCTGTGAAAGTCCAGTAGCACCACTTTCCCCCAGGTTGTGACAACTAAAACATCTCTTCGGGTATTGCCAGATGTTCCCTGCAGGAAAAAATTGCTCCTGTTTGTGAACCACTGGCCTATGCTGTGCCTCTTAGCATCTAAGCTTTTTGTTCATTTGTCTATTAATTAAGGTACAATATAGTATGATAGAAGTTGGGCTTTTGTTAGTGCTGTCATATTGTACACCATGTGAACAATGCTTCCTGGAGTTGTGTGGACAGCCTTGGACTTTGAGCCACACATACTAGGGTTTCGGTTTTTCTCACTGGCCAATGGGAATTCACATGTGGCTGATAGAGTGGTTTTGTGTGCATCCGTAAACAGCTTGACTGCCATGTAGTACATCCTCAATAAATGAGCCAATTATATAATAGCTTAATTTTGGTTCTTCTTGTCTAATAGGTGGAGATTCTTAGATGGAAGGGGCTGCTTGTTTTTTATTGTATCCCCCCACACACCCCCTAGATGACTGGTATAGACTGGCTGCCTGATTCACTTGTCTTTCAGCTTATAGGCTTTATACTGTGGTGCCTCGCCTGGTCAAGTTTGTAGATGTTCTGACTAATTGGTATGTTAGAATGAACCGCAGAAGATTAAAGGTAAGTACAGACTGCTGTTGGGAAGAGCAAAAAGTGTATGAAGTTTGTGAGTAGAAGAAAAATAACAACTGAAAGGAAAAGGAACGTTTCCAAATGCTTTCAGTTTTTGAAGCTTTTTCTTTTCCTTTTACATTTTGTATTAACTATATTTATTGTTATTTGATAAGGACCTACATAAGTTCTAAAAGTCATTTTGCATGTTTTCATAACACAGTTATGAACATGTCATATTGGAGGGAAAGAGTCAGGGCACTTACTGGACTAAACAGTAAAATCTCTTAAAATCCGAAATAAATTTATGTAAATATTGTCAAATATTGCTTTGCTCTTGAGAGGGGTACCTCCTTGCTTCTACAACTAGGGAGTCAGTTGCTTATTGAGTGTTTGCTGTGGACAAAACTTCTCTACATAACCTAAACATATTTACCCCTGTAATATGCTGAAATTTAAAAAAAAAAAAAAAAATTCTACAGCTGTTAGGCATTTAGAATGAGCAAAACTTGCCTAGTCTCAGGACCCACACCAGCTATGTAAGTAACAATAGTGCAAGACAAGTAGTGGTAGGTGTCCTTACTGCAGGCCAGGTGAAGGCTCCCACCACCCGTTAGTTCTGTCTTAAAATCTGTTAATAATAAACACCTGTAACACAAATATACTTTAAATTTTGTTAAAATGTATTACATACACACATATATACACATATATTTAGAAGGACATATACAAAAATGTTTATGGTAGTTATATCTAGATAACCCAATTATGGTTGAATTTGTTTTTATTATCTTTGTATTTCCTGCAATTAGTATAATTATTTTTTTTAAATACACAGTATATACTTTTTTTAAAATAACCAATCTTACCAACAGGTACTTTAAAGTTTTCTGTTAGCAACTGTTTCTGTCTATTGCATATGGATCCATTGTGCCCTCAGATTTAGGGTCTTACAGTCAGCACCACCTCCCCAGCCACTCATCTCAAGTGAGGATAGTCATGGGACAGCAGGTGCACACCCAGCCAGGCAGCCTGTGGTTATGACCATTTTTCCTTGTTTTGTCTCATGTCTTCTCTGTATGCTACATGTTCTGTGTAGGTTGCTTCTTTTTAATAAACTTATTTTTTTTGTATGATAAACATTTTTAGTAGTTTAATGTTTGTTTCTTTTTTTATTCATTAGGGTGAAAATGGGGTGGAAGATTGCATTATGGCCCTGGAGACCTTGTTTAGTGTTCTGCTTTCTCTTTGCAGACTTATGGTAAGATGTGTGGCCCCTTTTTAAAACTCTTTGGCCCATGGGCTGTGTGTGATACCCTCTTGCTACAGCATCTGTATTCCTTCAACAATACTGTGTATTCCTTCAACCAAAAATTGAAATAGAAGTTTTATAATACCTCAGAAATCTTACTAGCATAAGTGTATGTCAAGGACTTAGAAATACTAGATTATTTCTTACAGTATAGGTTAGGGTCTTTGGATCTAGAGTGAGCATCAGTTCAAGGTAAGACGTACTTCATCTTAATGTGGATTGTCATAATTGTCTTTGAGTAATGGGGAGTTTCCTGAACTAATGTCTAATAAATATATCACAACAATATTTTAACTGAGCAGAGAAAAATGTATAGGTAGTTATTTGAAACATTTTTCTACCAGTTAAAATATTAATTAAATGATATACAAGTGAAAAATCTCCAACTTTAAATTCCTTGTATCCTATTTTTACTACTACAGTATGTTATAAGCTTTCTATTTATTACTTAACCAAAGGAGAATCTGCTTTGTACAACGTTCTGTGCCTGGTGCCTTCCATGCCTGACCTCATTCACCTTCATCCTATGAAGCACGTAGTATTTTCCCCCGGTTTACAGATCAGATTTCTGAGGTTCGAGACATTCAGTCCTCTGTGCTTGTTGACTTGGCTGGTGCATGGTCAGGTCTCCTGTTTTTATTTTGGACAGACTCCAGAAGTCTAAAGATGCTTAGGGGTTTTTTTTTGTTTCTTTGTTTTTGCTACAGTCTTGCTGCTATTCTTCATACATATGAGGTCATTTCTCTTTCATGGGGCACTTTTAGTAACTTCATGCCCATTTCTATGCATATTACTGTATTCTCTAAAATGTTTAGTTGTTTTCAGTGTAAATGAAATCAATTAATGATGGCTGTATATGAATGACATGATGTTCTCTGACCTCACACAGGCCCCCTACACACCTTTTCTCACTGAATTGATGTATCAGAATCTAAAGGTGCTGATTGACCCTGTTTGTATTCAGGACAAGGACACACTTAGCATCCACTACCTCATGCTGCCCCATGTTCGGTAAGAATCAAATATAGATCCGACTCACTTGGGCCCTGGGAAGGAGGGGAGTTGAGCTTTTGGGGACCCTAGCTCCCTAGGAAAGCGTGGAGAGAGCCGACATTTCCCTGCTCTAGCACCTTAGTGCCCTGCCTCCCCGCAAGCTGACATGAGCTGTTCCTCAGGCTTCAGGATGAGGCCCACTCGACACATTGGTAGGAGGGATGCTCAGTGTAGAATCCCTCTATAGGGCTGTGACAGGTGGGGTATGGGCTTGCCCCCTGGGGAGCTGCGGGGTGCTTAGCAGCAGGCATGGATGTTGCCCTTCCCTAGATGCCTCACCAGGAGGCCCAGCTACAGCATCCCTTCTCTAGCCTCACTCTCTACCTCACTTAAGCATGCCTATTGTTCTGGATTTTCTTCTTTTATATGTAATCTCTTTCATATTCCTATCTCTACCACTCAGAGAAGAATTGATTGACAAGAAAACTGAGAGTGCAGTATCTAGGATGCAGTCTGTGATTGAACTTGGGCGAGTGATCCGAGACCGTAAAACTATTCCAATAAAGGTTTGAAATTTTATTTGTATTTTACATGGCACAGACCTAAATAATTAAGTCTTTGGAATGTTTTTTGTTATTTTTTCTTTTTGAGACAGAGACTCACTCTGTTGCCCGGACTAGAGTGCCGTGGCATCAACCTAGCTCACAGCAACCTCAAACTCCTGGGCTCAAGCACTCCTTCTTCCCTCAGCCTGCTGAGTAGCTGGGTCTACAGGCATGCACCACCATGGCCGGCTAAATTTTTCTATATATTTTTTAGTTGTCCAGCTAATTTTCTTTCTACTTTTAGTAGAGATGGGGTCTTGCTCTTGCTCTGGCTGGTTTCAAACTCCAGAGCTCAAATGACCCACCTGCCTCGGCCTCCCAGAGTACTAGGATTACAGGCATGAGCCACTGTACCCAGCCTTGGAATGTTTCTTAATATAGTAAGCTTCCAGCAGTGGCCTTTTTTTTTTCTCTTTTTCTACAGTAATGGTGGGAATTAGGTCAGCCTGACTAGTTTGGAGCTTGGGATTCAGATAAACATTTAGCATTCCATTTTTTGCAGTTTAGAGGACTGGCTGCTTAGTGAACTTTATCCTCCCTTTTCCTCCTAGTATCCTTTGAAAGAAATTGTGGTTATCCATCAAGATCCAGAAGCTCTTAAAGATATCAAGTCTTTGGAGAAGTATATCATTGAGGTAAGGTAGATGATTTGTTGTTTTGGTTCCAAACAGACTTTCCTTGAGAAGATTATTTTGCTGAATACTCCCCAATAAAGTACACTTTGAGTGTATAATTTATTCTTTTTCTTTTGTATGTCAGTATATACCTAACATACTTATCTATGATATATTGCACTTCCCTTAAAATCAACTCTGTTGCCCGGGCTAGAGTGCTATGGCATCAACCTAGCTCACAGCAACCTCAAACTCCTAGGCTCAAGCAATCCTTCTTGCCTCAGCCTCCCTAGTAGCTGGGACTACAGGCATGCACCACCATGCCCGGCTTAATTTTTCTATATATTTTTTAGTTGTCCAGCTAATTTTCTTTCTCATTTTAGTAGAGATGAGGTCTCACTCTTGCTCTGGCTGGTTTCACACTCCTGAGCTCAAGCAATCCTCCCGCCTTGGCCTCCCAGAGTGCTGGGATTACAGGCGTGAGCCACCACACCTGGCCATAAATGAATTTCTTTACCTTTCATTTATTACCCTCATTCACTTCTCTTCCCCCGAAGTACTTTTTGATAATTAACAATAAAACTTTGTTCCTTCAAATTACATAAGTGATCACACATTGGTTGTAAACAGCTGAAACACTACCATAGTATGTGCCCAGTGAAAGGTGGGTCCCTATGTGCCCCTGGAGTCTCACTTTACCCTCTTAGGGAAGTTCCTAGGATTTTATACATGTGTGTACACACATATGTATGTATAATGGCAAACTAGATGTTCCGCTATTATTTGCTTCAGTCTGTAGTTATGACATTTCATTTTCCTACCTTCTGTACTTTTCATCATCCCTGCTGTGTTGGTAATCCTTAACTACCTGATGGAGGCTGAATGAGTTATGATTAACTGATTCTTCCTTTATATTGCTCAAAATTCCATTGTATGTATATACCACATTTTGTTTATTCACAATTGATGGACATTTGGTTGTTTTTCCTTTTTGGCTGTTATGAATAATGCTGTTATGGACATTCGTATACATACTTTTTTTTCATTTCTCATTTTTATTTTCTCTTGTGCATTAACTATAGGAATTGAATGTTCGAAAAGTTACATTGTCTACAGATAAAAACAAATATGGCATTCGGCTAAGGGCAGAACCGGATCACATGGTCCTAGGGAAGCGTCTGAAGGGAGCTTTTAAAACGGTAATGACATCCATCAAGCAGTTGAACAATGAGGAGCTGGAGCAGTTCCAAAAATGTGGTAAGTGTCTGCTCAGACAAGAGCACCATTCATGTCCTCAGGCTGAGGAATTTTTTGTATTTAGGCTCCTATGTGACTTTAATATCACATCCATTTCTTAAATAAAACATTTTTCTGGTCATAAAAATGTTTACATTAATTTTGATAATTTAGAAAGAAAACACAAATGACCCCTAACCCTACCACCATCCATGTAACACACATTGGGTACCTGCTGTCTGCTGTTTAATATGCAGCCCAGTAGGTGCTGGTGTACTGTTAAAATTCTGGTTTATTTCCCTCCAGTTACATTTATAGTCATATAATTATAGCCTTATAAAATGGAGATCACACTATAAATTTAAATTTCTCCCCTTTTTATATTTTTTATTTTGTATTTTCACTTTACATTATAAACATCTTATGTATTTATACTGTTTGAAATGCTGTTTTAATAGCCACATACTTTTTTCTTCATGTAGGTACTTAATAATATTTTAAACTAGTCTTTTATTGTTGGTGTTTAGGTTGTTTAGAGTCTTTTAATATTAGAAATAATATTGCAATGAGTATTTTTGCATTTAATTATTTTGTGGAATTGACTTCTTTAGGGTTAGTTAGATAGAAATTACTGAATCGGGGATGGATCTTATCTTTGAATTCTGCAAATGCTAATGTGAGCCTAGAAAACCCCCCTGTTGAGAGAGAGAGCAGAACTCCCAGGGCTTAGTGACCCAGCGGCTGTGTTCCCCAGGAGTGTCCAGATGTTGCTTCTGGAGAGAAAAAGAAAATGGCTTTTAGAGATGTCATAAAACTGGAAAATATTCTAAAGAAAAGATTATAGTACCGTGTTTCCTCGAAAATAAGACAGGGTTTTATATATATTTTTCAAGAAGACACCCTAGGGCTTATTTTCAGGGGATGTGTTATTTTCCCCTCATAGCCTCAGCTTGCAGCACACACAGGGTGGCCAGGACCTCACAGGGGGAGCCTACCTTGTTGGTGGGGCTGCTCGTACCTTTCCAGTCACCCCTGGAATAGTAGCTGTCACGATGGGGCAGATGAGAAGGGCTGCACAAAACGCATGGGTTGTGCAGATACACCGCGTAGCCACACCCATTACTAGGTCTTATTTTGGGGGTAGGGCTTATATTGCACAAATGCTTAGAAATCCTGCTAGGGCATATTTTATGGGTAGGTCTTATTTTCAGGGAAACACAGTATGTTTGGAGGAAAGGCAGTTAGCATTGTGGTTTAGAGCTTCCTGCTGAGGAAAAATGGGTTGGAACTTATCACGGTTTTTCTGAAATATCCAGAATCCATATCTTTGTCTCTTATTGGGCAAGACTAGATTCATTTATTCATCATATATTTGTAAAAGCCCAGTGTAGAGCTGAATAAGATAGACTTTGTTACTATTGTCATGGTGCTGATAGACAGTGAAGGTTTATAGAAATAAATATGCTTTGGATAATTGCTATGAAGGAAAAGGCTAAGATAATATGAGAACATGTATGGGGAGCCTAACCAAACAACGGGGTTAGGAAAGGGAACTCAGCCCCCTCTCTTCACCCCTCAGAGAGCATTTCAGGGTGCCCAGGGATTTTCAGCTTTGCAGCTTTGCCATATTACAATCAGGTTCATATTTAGGGGAAGAAAAAGAATCATACTTAGTCTGATTCTATGGCTGCTTGACTTCCTGCAGCTGCCCTGGAACAGGAAGATAAGGACTTGAGATAGGAGGTTTAAGGACTCAGGAATCAGATGACTGATTATAGAAATTGGGAAAAATGTCCCTAAGATTCTACAAATTCTTAGGTAGAATTAATAAAACATAAGAGGTTAGCAGCTAAAATTTGATACTTTATCAACTCAACTCAAAATGTTAAAGAAGCAAAATGTTGTTTGATCAACTTTCAAGTCACAAATCTAAGTTGTTTTACCAAATGCCAAAACATCAAAAAGTCCTGAAATAAGTCTTATTTAAAGCCGAAAGCCTACAGTTTCTAAACTGTAGTTTCTGAATAGACTATTTCTGCACTGATGGAAAACAAAATAGTTTTTGTTTTTGTTTTGTTTTGTTTCTTGAGACAGAGACTCACTCTGTTGCCCGGGCTGAGTGCCGTGATGTCAGCCTAGCTCACAGCAACCTCAAACTCCTGGCTCAAACGATCCTCCTACTTCAGCCTCCCCGAGCACCTGGGACTACAGGCATGTGCCACCATGCCCAGCTAATTTTTCTATATATATTTGAGTTGTCTGGCTAAATTCTTTCTATTTTTTTAGTAGAGACGGGGTCTTGCTCTTGCTCTGGCTTGTTTCGAACTCCTGAGGTCAAATGATCCTACTGTCTGGGCCTTCCAGAGTGCTAGGATTACAGGTGTGAATCACCACTCCTGGCCCAAAATAGTTTTACCCCAACGATAAAGCAACCAGGCCGGGCGCGGTGGCTCACGCCTGTAATCCTAGCAGTCTGGGAGGCCGAGGCGGGCGGATTGCTCGAGGTCAGGAGTTGAAACCAGCCTGAGCAAGAGCGAGACCCCGTCTCTACTATAAATAGAAAGAAAAAATTGGCAACTAATACGTATATAGAAAAAATTAGCAGGGCATGGTGGCACATGCCTGTAGTCCCAGCTACTTGGGAGGCTGAGGCAGGAGGATTGCTTGAGCCCAGGAGTTTGAGGTTGCTGTGAGCTAGGCTGACGCCATGGCACTCACTCTAGCCTGGGCAACAAAGTGAGACTCTGTCTCAAAAAAAAAAAAAAAAGAAAACCAACAGCCTAGTGCTCAAAGCCCAAGAAAGTAATTATCAGTGACCACTGTGGGCTTACCTTAAGATGTGGAATTGCAATCCGCAGCCGTCCATACACTGTCCTCTGGACAGCATACTGCTCAGTACTTCACACAGTCCATTTCATTTCGGCCTCACCACACCCTACTCAGCAGATAGTAGAATACCAGGTCATATAACCACTAGTGGTGGACCTAAGCCCGCGTTCATTCTGAAGGCTATATTTTCTTCATTACATCATGCTGCTCTGTGTTTATGGTGGGGATTTGTTTCCTCTTGGTACATTCCCTTAGCTTTGGTGTGTTTTTGTACCTGGGGGTTTATATAAAACAGTAGACATTGGTGGTGACTTACCTGTCTTCAAGGTAGCATAGTGTAGTATAAAGGAAGTTTGTCACATCCTTGGCTACAACAGTGACATGAGTCAGGAGGAAGTGATCTCTTGAAGCCTCTACAACTCTGTGCTATTGTAAAATTTTCATCAAAAAAGGGCACAGTACACTGGTAGCACAGCAACTCAGAGGAGAAGGGGCTGATTAACAGTGCAACTGCTTCTCCCAATAGGGACCATTGTTGTGGAAGGCCATGAATTACACGAAGAAGACATCCGTCTCATGTACACCTTTGATCAGGCCACAGGTGGGACTGCGCAGTTTGAAGCACACTCGGATGCTCAGGTATTTTTCTGTTCACCAGAACATATCTTTACCAAGATTAAGAGGAGAAAGTGTTTTATCTATGCCTTTCCTTAAAATGTTGACAGCTTGTCTCAGGGTAAAATAAACCATTTTAGATTGGCTTTATTAAACATTGCTGTGATATGCCTTTGACATAGGCATTTGTTTAATGAATATATAAATGGGCATTTTATAATTTCCACAGATGAGTAATTGTCCTAAGTGTTAGGTTGCACCAAAATGAACCATTCGAGGAATGAGTCAGTCATGGACACAGGAAAGTAGCAAATTCTTACTATTCTTCCTGACAAGTTGTCCTGGTGGAAATAAGTACAGAGAAAGTCCCCTTTTCAAAAATTGAGATAGAGGTGAGGGTGGTCAGGTCACGTGTCTTGAAGAGAATATACAATCTGTTTTGGATTCTGGGGTCAGTATTTTTCATCATGATGGAACAGAGTATCTCTTTCTAGTCTTAAACAGTCTTTTCCAAGCAGCGTGGTTTTAAGATCTGTTGTGGAAAATTGAGGGCATTGCTAGAGCCCCTCTGTGCTTGAATCATACAAACCATAGGATCAGAAGGGTCATGGTGTAAGAATATAACTTGGACTTGACTTCTTTGAGTCCTTTGATCCACTCACTCATGGTATGAAAAGTTGTGATGCTTAAGGGGCTTCGTGGTTGTTGATCTTATTTATTAGAAGAGTTGGTATTATTTATTAGATGGCCAAGAAGCAGAGTCATATGAGGGACTTTCGTGAGAGGCCAGTCTCAGGACATCTCATGTGAGCAGTACCCCACAGACAAGGAAGAAAAAGCTGCACCTTTCTCCAGAGATGGAGAAATGGCTGGTTATAAAGAAATACCCAAATGATAAGGAAACTAGATTAATTTTTTCCTTTGCTCAGTTTTGTGAATAAATAATGCTGCATTATAGACTTCTCAGAATTTAGTTTTCAATAGCATTTTGCTGAGTTTGAAAGAAGTGTTTCTTCTTATTTGATTGTCATAGTGTGCACTATTCATTCCTCCAGGCCCTGGTTCTTTTAGACGTCACCCCTGACCAGTCAATGGTGGATGAAGGAATGGCCCGAGAAGTCATCAATCGGATCCAGAAACTTCGCAAAAAGGTCAGTTTGTCAAATTAAGAATAAGCTACTATTTTGGATTTTTGTTTTGTTTGGGTTTGGTTGTTAGGGGAGGATAAGCGAGGCAGATAATATAAACCACAGTGATCAGTTAATGATAATGATTCCCTGATCATCCATCCATTCGTATGTATTCTGCAGGGAAGACAGGTCTTTTTTTTCCCCACTTACTCCCAAACTATAGCTTTCAGCCAACCTGTGCCCTTACCAATCCTTTTTCAGTTCTCTTGGGTTTCCACAAAACAACCCTCTTGACTGGTGCGCAAGGTAATCAGAGATGACAGTGAGTGTCTCTGAGGAAGGGGAGAATTACAGTCAATATAGAAGGCACCTTAGCTCAAGGGAGAAATTTGTAGGTCTGGACAAATCTAGGGTAGTTTTTCTTAGGGAACTGGAGAAGGTACACAGAAGCCCATGCTTGGAGAGCAGAGGGACTACGAAGAAGCCCCCACCAGGTGAGAGAATCAGGATGCCCTTATCACGGAGGGCAGTGACAGCTAGCTCCCTCCTGCACATCTTCCTTCTCAGGCCAGATGTCTGAGACCTGTGGTCCAGGGTCTGAGGAGGCCACTCCAGCAGATAACTGGGGGGATAGAGTGAGGAATTTCAGAGATCTGTAAATGGGTTCTCAGTTATTTGTTTGTTTCATCATTCATGGGGTGCTGGTTGTGCTAGGAAAAGACACATGCCATACCTCAAAGAGTGGGGAAAAGAACATAAAGCAAATCATATACTGCAGTGCAGTTAGTCTTATAGATCACCCAAGGAGGGATGGACAGGTGACTGCCCTTCTGTGATGATTCAGCATGGGATCATCAGCCCTTCTTCAGCAATGCCTTACATTTTGATTAACAAAATGTCTTTACCTTTTGAAATTTTCTGTATATGCTTTCAGTGCAATCTGGTTCCAACTGATGAAATAACAGTTTATTATAAAGCAACATCTGAAGGAAGGTATCTGAATAATGTTATAGAAAGCCACACCGAGTTCATATTTGCCACCATAAAGGCTCCCTTGAAACCATATCCAGTTTCTACATCAGATAATATACTTATTCAAGAAAAAACACAGGTGAGTTCTGAGTTACGTTGAACAACTGAAAGATTTCAGATTAGGTTTTACTTTAACTTTATGTAGTCACATGTTGATATTCTGTCTACCAGTAGAAATTGGCATATGACTCAATCCTGATGTATTGCTGTGGATGGTAGTGGGTTGGGTTAGAGAGTGGAAGTCCAGAACAGATGGAGGGGGAGAGAAGGCAGAACTGTTGACACAGCCAGGAGGGTACATGAGTAGATTTTCCAGGAAATAAACAGGCTATGTGAGCCC